AAGAGTTCACGTGGGTGAGGAGGACTTTGTGTGTGTGTGTGTGTGTGTGTGTTTATGTGAATATAGATTCTACTAGAATGTTTGAGTTCACGTGGGGGAGGGCTGGTGAAGTGGGCCTGTGTGTGGTGTTTGCGCGTGTGTGTGTGTGTGTGTCTGCGTGTGTGTGTCTGTGCGTGTGTATCTATTTCTATGAGAAAGTTTGAGTTGATGTTGTGGAGGTGTGGTGAAGGGGGCCTGTGTGTGTGGGTGTGTGTCTGCGTGTGTGTGTGTTTGTATGGGTGTGTGTGTGTGTATGTGTGTGTGTTGTGGGGCACATTCAGCCATATTTGATCCACAGAGCAGCCTCCAGCTTGTAAGTGATGCATAAAACAGCCACTATTTTCTACCAGGTCATTTTTGATCTGTAACACCACAAATGTCACTTTTTTTTTTTTTTTTTTTTTTTTTGAGACCTTTACAATTTACTAAAATGGTGAAAATTTATTTTGTTGCATTAAAATAGTTGTGTCTGAGGATTAGTACAAAAAAGCAAATGGTAGTTTTTACATACCTTTATGTCTGTCTATTTGTATAATTGTATTGTGTGTCTGGGTGGATTGTTTTTACTGTGTGTTTTTGTTTTATGATCACATCAACCTGTCCAGGGTCAGCAGATGGACATTAGCCTTGGGGGCTACAATCTGATTACATATTTTCAAACCATGTATATGTTCATAAATGTGTTTTGTCCCTATTTCAAATAAATAAATAAATAAATAAATAATAAATAATAAATAAATAAAATACACATACATACATGTGCATATCATTAGCCTCGTAGCATAATTGCCTAACTCATATTTGAACACTTTTGGAAAACAAGAAAAAACAGATTTCTTTGCAAGCACATTGGTATTTTGAATTGATATTCTAACAGAAAGTTCAACCAGATGTGTGAACAAGTTTCCAAAAAAAGTAAGACACAACACTGATTGCATAACAAATAAAAGTGACTTAGACAGAATATGCATTGACAATTTTTCTCTAAGGGTAATTCCACCTCAATTCACCGAACAAAAAATGCAATTTGAACCCTCACATTGTCCAGCTGCAAAGAAAATTGGTGTATGGGTAAGTCATAGCCAAGAAAGCCTAAATCTAAAATTTTTGCATGATCAGACCAACGGTTGTTGAGATATTGCAATTTAATTTTTTTCAATGTTTTGCGTGGTCTCTGAATTTCAAATTGCAATTACGCAGCAACTACTGGTCCGATATCAACAACCAAGGTATCTCTGGAAAGGGGACATCATAAGGAATCCAAATCTTGTTTTAATAAGGGACACGCCTGACCTCGATGACACCAGTAGAAAAAATGTAGCCCAATATACAACATATAAAAAAATCTGGAGGGCTTTTCTTTTTTATTTTCACTTAAATTTACCTAGAATTTAACTTACCCCCATCTTAAGACATGCCAAATATTCATTCAGAGTACCGTATTTTCCGCACTATTAGGCGCTCTGGATTATATCATTCTATTTTTGAACTTTTTTCACAAATAAACCACACCGGACTTTAAAGGAAACACAACAGTGTGATGTGTGAGTGGTTTTGTTTGCTGTGTCGTTCACGGTGACTCTGGGCTTTGTTCAGTTGTGGCGTGTAGGGAGGGTGTGTCTGGGACCAACGGATTGTCGGCGTGTTCGCAGTGACTCAGTTGTTCAGTCATGTCTAGAAGTGGCACATTGCACTTGCTTTTTCAGTTCGTTCCTCCGTTCTGTTCCTCGTCGGCGTGGAGTGATGAGTGTGTCTGTGGGTGTGTTTCGCTGTGCGGTCGCTGTCTGCTCCGTGTGTGTTTGTGTGTTCTGCGGGTGGTGCGGCTTTGTAGTTTACTGAAGTCGTGCTGGGACACCTGAGTGGATTCGTGTATAGGGCGCTCTGGATTGCGGGGCGTGCGGTTGTTTTTTGATGGGGTTAGAGGCTTAAGCGCACGTCTAATAGCCCGGAAAATACGGTATACGGCTGACAGTCAAAGGGACATTACAGTACCGTCGTTTTGTCCCCGTCTCCCTGACACAGATACATGTCAGCAAACTCAGTGAACAGGCAAACCCTCCTGATTTGACAGCAGTTCATCAAGGACACGTGAGTGATGAAGATGAACACAAAGGCCCCGTCGATATCCCTCTTGTTGTTAGACCTCAGAACTTTGTATGCTGCAGCTCTGATAACCTCCCATGGACTGGTCTGGTGGAGAAGGTCTCAGAAGAATTCACTGACTATAAGATAAAGTTCATGCACCATCATGGACCAGCCAAAAACTTCTACTGGCCGTCCAAAGATGATTCTTTTTGGATACCGGATTCAGACAAGACTATCTTCAACAAGAAACTACAGCATTTCACATAATGACATGTCCAAAATGTCTAACCACTGTTTGAACTGGCCTGCAAATAAGGAGTAAATATCCTGATTTCATGAAACAAAGACAGTTGTGAAATTTTCAGTGACTTTAGGTTCTGTGCGTTTGACAAGAGTATATCAACTTGGACTCTGTGTGGATAAATGTTTAGCTGTATGCACTGAATGGACATTTGGCACGTCTTAAGATGGGGGTAAGTCAACTTCTAGGTAAATTTGTATGAAAATAAAAAAGAAAACCCCTCCAGATTTTTATATGTTGTAGTCGACACATAGGGCTACATTATTTCTACTGGTGTCATTGAGGTCGGGCGTGTCCCTTACTGTCACTTTCAATGTCAAAATATAGGTCAAAAGGTCATTCATCTCAAAAGTGCAAAAATAAATGCTGATTTATCAGCTATCATCAAGATTGGTAGACCTGGTTCACCTGACCTGCCCGTAAATTCCAGAATGTTAAAACCTGCCAGTTTCACCAACTATTTGCGTGTACCTGTTGGGTACCAGAGCAGGACTCTGAGTTAGATGAGCTGAGTTGACAGGTTGTGCCAGTGCGGAAGAGCCGAGCCACGGGTAAGATCAATACATGACTTGTTCATGTGTTTACCCGGAAGGTGCACAGACGACACGGGACTTAAATGGCACTGGATGAATGATCGAGCAGGTGTCGGTGACCTGAACCTAGTCGTATCCCAAACATAAATGTGAAGTATATCTGTGATTAAGGTGGTAAAAGGATAAACCCTCGGCCTTAATCATACAACTGTGACAGAAAGACAAAAAGAACCCCTCCAATCACCATCTCCCATCATGATGGGTACAAAATGTTTGCCACCAACATTCCACTCTTTCACAAGATCAACAAAATGCCAATGACCCTGGACCTGGAACAACTTGATGAAAGTGTTGGTGTAGAAGCCACTTTGAGAAGGAAAAGTATTTCTGCCTGATTTTATGTTTGCTTCACCATTTGAACAATTAGTACATTTTTTATTTCTATAGAGTTTTTCACAGACATTTGTCACAAAGACACTTTACAGAGAGTTATTCAGTCAATCCTGACTCGGCCGTGATAAGATCCTATTGTAGCCACAGCTGCCCTGGGGCAGACTGACAGAAGTGCGGCTGCCATGCCAATGAGAGTCATCAGTCCCTCTGAGCACCACCATCACTCACACACTCACACACTCACACACACACACACACACACACACACACACACTCACACACACTCACACACTCACACACACACACACACTCACACACTCACACACTCACACACACACACACACACACACTCACACACACACACTCACACACACTCACACACTCACACACACACACACACTCTCACACACTCACACACTCACTCACCCACACACACTCTCACACACTCACACACTCACACACTCACACACACACTCACACACACACACCACTTTCATACTAGGCAATGTGGGTGAAGTGCCTCGCCTAAAGACACAACATAAACACATTTTTTTTATTTTAAATTTTTATTTATTTATTTATTTATTTATTTATTTTTTGACTGGTGCCCCCCTGTGGCTCCTGATTTTCCCAGTGGTCTCCAATCCAAGTACTGACCAGGCCCGGCCCTGCTGAGCCTCTGAGATCTGACGGGATCAGACTTTTACAAACTGAAATAATTCATCTCCTACAGGAACAGTGGCCGTCTTTAATTTACAATTTAAACATTTAGATTGTTATTGTTGTTATTGTTATTAATCTGTTCCATCACCAAGACATCACACAATTCATGCATCCAATTTCTTATTGAGAAACAGTTTGCGATGTTTCCAGTTAACCATAATCATTCTTTTTGCTACTATGAAAACAAGATTGTATTGACTTTTTGTTGAAAACTGAGCAGATCTGTAATCTAACAAACAGATAAGTGGACACGAAGAAAGAATTCTATTTAGTAACTTTGAAACAACCCCAGTTATTTGATTCCAAACTGCATGAATCTCTGGACAATGTCATAACATGTGAAGTAATGTTCCCTTTTGCCCACATCCACCCCGGCAAAGGTCAGAGGAGTGTGGGGCTTTTTCTTTTTTTTTCTTCTGAGTTTGGCTGGAATTACATAAGCTCTTTGTAATGTTTTAATTTGGATCAGCCTAAGTCTCACTGATTTGGAGATTTTTGTAACATCTCTCCAGATTTGTTTCCATTGTGCAGTAGTCAAGTTGAAATCTAGATCCTTTTCCCTCTGAGACTGTGTTGGACTGTTGAGGGTTTCACCTGAGCTATTGAGCATTTTATAAAGTCCTGAGCCTGTTCCTTTATTTAGTTTATACCTTTGTGCAATGATATTATCAACTTATAACAAACCAACCAATTCATCATGTATAAAGCTTCAAATCATCTTCAAACTAAACAACAATCTCTTGTCAAAATCATAGAATATGTTCAAAATCCAAAATATGAGCTCAGAGGTACAGCCACATTTATCAAGAAGAAAATCAGAACAAACATTATGAAATTTAGTTTATCTGTTAAAGGGGTGGAGTTCTGGAACAGTTGTACCTAAGACCTAAAACTGTGCACCAGTCTCTTCCAGTTCTAAAAAGAAGTTTAAATGTTTAACTCTGGGCAGATCCGGGCTATTAGTCGCTCTGGATTATAAAACGCGCTGTCATTAAATGGTCTATTTTTGAAGTTTTTTCACAAATAAACCACACCGGACTTTAAAGGAAACCCAACAGTGTGATGGTGAGTAATTTTGTTTGTTTGTTCGTTCACAGTGACTCTGGGCTTTGTTCAGTTGTGGCGTGTAGGGAGGGTGCTGTCTGGGACCAACGGATTGTCAGCGTGTTCACAGTGACTCAGTTGTTCATAGGCCTGTAACGATAATCAATAAATCGATTAATCGTCCGATAACTTTTAACAAGCTCGATAACTTTTCCAGGCATGATAAATTCTATTTGCAGCTTGTTTGTTTTCCTCGCTCTCTCAAAGAGACTGAGTATTATCCCTCTCCAGGCAGGCGTTGCAGATTTGCAACAGGTAAATGCCAATGACCTACTTACTCCACATCCATATTCAGTGTTGGGAAGTTTACTTTTAAAATGTATTCCCCTACAGATTACAGATTACATACTCCAAAATGTAGTTTGTAATGGAATCCATTAAGTTACTTAAAGTGAGTAATGTAATCTGGATACTTTGGATTACTTGATTTGCTGTAGAGAAGCAAAGACTCGGAAATCTTAATTTAAGATGTTTTGTCTATTAAAAGAAAATAAAAAGCCCAGTGTTTCTATATGAGATCACTGCCGCCTTAAATTATGTCCACCCGACTGTTTGGTGTCATATTGTTTATTTAAAAAATAAAAATAAAAATCAGTACAAACATAAAAGCGCCAGCTCAGTAAAAATCAGTAATATTTGATGATTTACTCAAAATGATGCAGAATCAGGTTATTAACAGTCCTGTTTAATCCTGGTCTAGACCTGTTTTAGTCTTGGTTTAGACCTGGTTTAGTCCTGGTTTAGACCTGGTTTAATTTCTGGCAACGAGTGGAATTACTGAAATAAAAAAAAATAAAATAAAAAATGGAATACAGCCCAAAATGTGAAAACAGGAAATACCTCTGTGTAATCCATTTATTTCAACAAAGTAACTGTAATCCAATTACCACTCACTGAAACAGTAACTGTAACTGAATACAGTTACTCATAATTTGTACTTTGATAACGTAATGCTGGTAGATGTAATCTGTTACTCCCCAACACTGGACATATTTTATGAGCTTTTTTTACTCAGGAGCCTTTTTCCCGTCCATGCTGATAAACGTGGACGATGCAGACTGTGCAAAAATGACTCCACACAAACGACCTGCCAGAAGTGCAAAGTACTTTTGTTGTTTACAAAGGACAAAAATTGTTTCTTGGAGAACCACACGAAAAAGTGATGTTGTTGTGCCACTGTAAAGCTGTTACACTGGGCTTTATGTTTTCATTGTTCTGAAAAGTGGTGAACACATAAAGTTAGCGTTCATATCATTTTCAGTCTTCAGTGTTCATTTACCACACTGAACCAATGCAGCAAATCTACAACATTCCAGAACACATTGGATGTCAAGGATTGTATATTACTACCCCATATGATCATTTTCCCCAAATATCAGATTTTTTCCTGTTACTAAAATTAAATTTGAGCCTGAGAGGGTTAAAAGGCTTCTATCGCTCTCTGACTCTTCTCGTTTAACAAGCGGAATGATGCTTTAATCAACGTGCGCTGTGTTTATCAACAGAGCGTGTAGTCTGCGCACTTTCTGCCGCTGTCTGTGCGGTGCGCTCGCAACACAAGCGCCGCAGTCAGAGTGACAAAACAGTTCATCTCCGTTCATCGCCAAAACAAGTCACGATGCCGAATCAACACTGGTGAGCGGGACACGTCTCAACAGTCATGTGCGTCAAATACAGCGAGTGAAACGCAAAGGACGAGAAGAAATGTCTCAAATCCCAACAGCCGACATAAACCCAAACCCGAGCGACACAATTAGTCTAGCGCCCGAGAGAACCCGAAATCCCAAAAGTGAACTGACACGACACCAGACGGGACAGAGGCTCCCTCATAGTAGAATAACATCCTGTGTCGCGGGTTAATACGAACATTTAAATGACCAAAATGTCGAGGCCACAGCAGCAGCCACAGAGAGTGACCACGATACCAATGTAAGACAATGACTAAAATCACTTTTAAGGACAGTTTTGTTACAAAGGCTTAATAATCCATTTTATTTATTGTTTTGGTTGTATTTGGTTCAACAGTGGTTTATTCAGGTACATTTTTGTGAACAAGTCCTCGCTGTGAGTCAGACACATTAGACTTAGTCCTGTGTTAAGTCTGTTTTATTTAGGCCTGTTGTTTTTGTTTGTCTTACAGTTCCTGTGTTAAATGTTCTTTAGAAAGTCAAGTTTATTGATCATTGAGAGGATGTATTTCATTATATTAGTTGAAATTGGTCTCAAAATGTCAATATTATCGTTTATTGCAATAAATTCTTGGTCAATTCATCGTCCAGCAAAATTTGTTATGGTTACAGGCCTAGTTGTTCAGTTGTGTCTAGAAGTGGCACATTGCACTCGCTTTTTTCGGTTCGTTCCTCTGTTGTGTTCCTCGTCGGCGTGGAGTGATGAGTGTGTCTGTGAGTGTTTTTGGCTGCTCGGTCGCTGTCTGCTCCGTGTGTGTTTGCGTGTTCTGCGGTGGTGCGGCTTTGTAGTTTACTGAAGTCGTGCTGAGTGGATTCGTGTATAGGGCGCTCTGGATTGTGGGGCGCGCACTCTTTTTTAATGGGGTTGGAGGTTTAGGAGCGTGTCTAATAGCCCGGGAAAATACGGTATGATGCTTAGTTTGTGCTGTAGAACTTTGCTGTACTCTTACTGATTTGTTTGTTTCCTCTTGCTGTATTTATGAAGATGAACTGACAAAGGAATAAAGAGTAAAGGCAGAATAAACTCAAGCTTCAGCTGACACCTTTTCATTCTGTGTGTTAAATATGGGTCCGGTCAAGCAGAAGGAAACAGCAAGGCCAAAAATTCAAGTTAATGCATCTGATATAAAAATGTATTGAACAGATACATATGTACTCTAGTTTATGAAACTGTTGACCTTTTTTCTGTACCATTTTTGGTTCTCAAGTTCCATACGTTTTAGAACAGACCATGTATGAAACATGGAACAAAAATTATTTCCCAAATTTCAAAGACCTGCAAATCATGTCAATAAATGGATGTATTTCATCATATCTTGTGTTATTCCATCTTTGAACTGTTGATGAAGGTACATGATTTAAAAAAAAAAAAAAAAAGTATTTAAAATGATAAAAAATTGCTTGGAAGGACTGACATATTTTATAGAAATAGTTTCCTTTCCTTTTGAAGTAATATTAAAGTATTCAGAAGAAAAAAGCAACAAATGATGTAAAATCCTGCACCTTCTACTTGTTTGTACAATTTTCCCTCCGTTACCATGACCTTTCTTAATAAAAAAATCTCATGAGTCAAAAAGTAAGAGGTTTTTCAACCTAATCTTGTACCATATGGTAGAAAACTATATGAAGCAAATATTCAAACCAGTTTGTTAAGGATATGGAAGTGAGAACCAAGAGTTATCACTGTTTGGATTTATTGCCCAAAAAGTGCTGCATATTTCATTCCCTCCGTTACCGACATGAGTTTTTTTAATTTTTTTGTCAACAACTTGAAAGAAATCTCACAGGTTTAACTTGACCCTGTTGGAGTGTAACTCTTTCCTACATTCTGATACTTTACTTATTTCAATAGTCCCTCTAGTTTCTGAATAAGAGACATTTGAATGTCAAAAATCTGCCCGTTTCCCTCCGTTACCACTTGACCGGACCCATATGACTGTGTCTGGAATCATGTCAGAATAAACCTGTGACCCAAATAAATGAATCAATCAAACCTCCCAGTTTCTCTTCACTGTCCCTCAGTGCCTCTGAGCTGAAAAAACCTGCCTTTTCCTACAGTTCCACACTGTAAACCTGAATGTTCAAAGTCATTAAATAGATTAAGCTGTGTAAACTCAAAGTTTTAGAAATAGTCCTAATAACTTAATTATGTCCAGTAATTTTGAGTAATTTTAACTAATTTTTTTGATTAACGGGAACTACTGTGAGTATAAGTGAGCGTAACTTAAGTGTGTATAATGTGCTATGTGTGTACTATAATGTGTAATGTATGTAAGTATGTATATATGTATGATTTTATTTATTTATTTTATTTAATGAGACAGGAACAGTGCACAATTTACATGAACCTTAACAGGAGAGATGTTTGTACATCAGGTTGTAGCGTCAGTGCTCATTTCCACCTGTCGTCCCTGGGCAGGTTCATTGACTGATTATATTTAACCTGATTGATTTTATTAATCTATATAAAACTAATATAATATTGATTAGACGAGTAAATTCCCTGATTTTCTCATGGGGACCCTGAGTTTAAATCCCCCTCCCAGGGTGTGAATAATGTAATATATGTATAATGTGTCTCTATACATAATATCATGTGTTTATAGTATAATATATGTGTACTGTAGTGTATGATTTACTGTGTGTAGTTTGCATTCAGCTGGGGGGCTCAACTGGTAAATCTCTTGAATTTCACTTGGGGGACTTGGGTTCAAATCCCCCTCCTACAGTGTGTATAATGTGTGTACACTACGATGTGTCTATATGTAAATTATCATGTGTGTAGATACATCTGGATGTGCTGGATTGTGTGGACAAAATCCATGAACTACAAACAAAACTGATTGTTCCAGTGGTTTGAAAACTCAAACTGCAAATATTGGAGTTTTTTTTTTTTAATTCTGGTAACTTAGTCGAGTTTGCATTGCATGATGTTGGAATCATTTACAAAAAGATCCTAAATTGGAAGTCACTGGACGAGTTCAAGAAAAGTGTAAAGAGTGTGGTGACCAGATGTGTGTTTTCTTTGAGAGATGCAAATGGCTTTATAATGTGATACTGTGTGATTTTAGTGTTTTTTGTTGATTGTGTTGCTGCTGCCTTGGCCAGGTCTCTGTTGAAACAGATTTTGAATCTCAATGGGTCTGTGTACCATTCCTTCTTTTAAATTTCAATTACGAATGACAAAACAATAAAATGGGAAAACAGTTTGTTATTTCATTATTCCGCTTAAGTCAAATCAAATCAAATGTGTATTTGTATAGCACATTTAAAAAGCCAAAGCGCTGAACAGTGAAATAAAACATACAATAGGTAAATCAAGCAGAATAATAATAATAATAATAATAATAATAATAATAATAATAATAATAATAATAACAACAGCAAGGGGCCAAGGTGCCTCTACCTAACCCTCAGCAAATGACAAGGAGAACAGGTGTGTTTTGAGTGAGGATTTAAAGTGCTCCAGTTCTGATATGCACAGACAAAGTGTTCCACAGTTGTGTTCTGACCACAGAGAAGGTCCGGTCTCCTCTGGTCCTCAGGCTGGTCCTGGGGACAACAGGAGGTGCTGGTCTGCAGAGTTCAGACCTCTGGACGGGACGTGGGGCTAGAGGAGTTCAAATAAATAGGAAGGTGCCTAAGACTCTTCAGAACAATCATACACAATTTAAAATGGATTCTAAACTGTGCAGGGAGCAGGAGTGATGTAGTCCCTCTGCTTCTTTCCAGTTCAAAGATGATCTGCTGCATTCTGGACGACCCCCTGTAAGTGCCAAGAAAAAAACAACAACAAAAACCCCAAAAACAAAAAAAGAATTCGACCTCTATTTCCAGTATTTAATTTGAAGTTTATTTCAAATAACTCCAATCAAAAAACTGCCTCGGTGCCTTTTTCAATTTGGATATTTTATTCTCTGGTTTATTTGCCCTGGAAGTTACTGGAAGTCCTGGAAGAACTTACCTGATAAATCATTGCAGTTTTGTGGACAAACATGTCTCTTCTTTTATAGTGACGCGTTTACTTTCACATCTTAGAAAGTCATTGTTGAACTTCATGACAAGAAACAAGAAGCAGCGATAAACTCTCCTTTGTTCAGTTGACTCCATCGAACTAGAATAAGAATAGTTTAGATTATAGATCCATGTCTGACACTGCAGCAGAACGTCTGGGGCAGATAAACCAGAGAGAATAAATATACAAATTCAAATAGACACTAAGACTGTTTTTTGATTGGTATTATTTGAAATAAACTTAAATTAAATATTGGAAGTAGAGGTCGAAATCTTTTTTTTTTTTTTGACACTAAAGCGGAATAATGAAATAACAAACTTTTACAAACATTTTATTCTTTTTCATTCTTAACTGAAATTAAAGAAGGAATGGTACACGGACCTTCATAATGTGTAATAAGATTGTGAGGCTTCTGATGTGTGATCATCTCTCAAACTCAGTCTGGAACCAAATGAAAATGAAGAACAGACAGCGGACTGGGACATAATCACAGGAGACTACAAGAACCACGATCCTTTGTTTTGTTTTCAGAAGACGTGACTGGTGTTGACTCTATCCACACTGACGTCACAAACCAGGAAAACCACACAAAGGCATTAAACACATATTAATCCTGCTGTGACTTCACGCTGGGGAGGTTCTACATATATGTGTATGGTAATTACAGAATGCTTTTAAACAAACGTGGTGACAAGCATGTTCCCCCACACAGCAAAAACAGGACGGTTAAAATTTCAGGGTGAAATATTTCAGAGTTGTTTTTATCAAAGTGTTATTTTAACTATTTGAAAGTTAAATGGGGGTTCAACTTGTGGTTATTTGCCAGAGTTGACATGGTTTAAGTTAATTCAACTTCCCTTAGTGTTAATTCGATTTCACTTAGTGTTAATTCGACTTCCTCTAGTGTTAATTCAACTTCCCTTAATGTTAATTCGACTGCACTTTGTGTTAATTCAACTTCACTTAATGTTAATTCAACTTACCTTATTGTTAATTCACCCTCCTCTAGTGTTAATTCTACTTCACTTAGTGTTAATTTGACTTCACTTAGTGTAAATTCAACTTTCTTTAGTGTTAATTCAACTTCCCCTGGTGTTAATTATACTTCCTCTAGTGTTAATTCAACTTCCCTTAGTGTTAATTTAACTTGCGCGAGTGTTAATTCAACTTCCTTTAGTGTTAAATTAATTCAATGTGTAAAAATAAAACACCTCTGTGTGTGTGTTGAGCTAAATCAGAATAACTCTACAAAGTGTTATCTGTTTACTCTCAAAGCGTTAATATAACTCTTGATTTCAGGGTTAAACAGGAACTTTGGTCCAGTGTTACTTAATGAACATTTCCAAAAATGTTCAATTAACTCTAGAACATATTGGACTCATATTAACACTGAGAAAATGTTAAAATGGCAAGATCATTTCAGTACTTTTAAGTCACTTTCTGATAGATTTAAGTGCTTTTATCTTAAGCGTTTTTGCAGAGTATTTTATTACATCTCCATGGAGACCAGCATATCAAACTGTCCAGCAGAAAAGTGCCACAGTGCAGCTTTAAACACACTCTCCTGTTGTTGTTGGCTGTAGTTGGTGTCAGGAGTGAAACTGCTCCACAGGAAACAGTTGCAAAACATTCAAAGCAATTAACCAAATGAGTGCAGGTAAATGGCCTCCCGACCAATCAGGAGCCGGGACTGGGAGCCTAAAGCCCGCCCCCTGTCTGAGCCGCAGCTGTGATTGGTCAGAGGGCACTGACTTCATCGGCTTCATTGAACCAGATTCCTCAGCCGTGAGACACTCCTCCCTCCGGTCATCTCCAGCCCTTTTTTCTCCCTCGCTCCTCTCTCTTTCTCTTTCTCTCTCTCCCTCCCACTTTCTCTCTACATTCCCTTGTTCTTCTCTCTTCTTCTCCACTTCTCATCTCTCTTTTCTTTCACTTGTTCACTCTCTCTTCTTCCCCTTTTTCTCTCTCTCTCTTCCCTCCCTCCCTAGCTCCCCTCTTTCTCTCCTTCCCCCTCCTGTTTCCCTGGTTCTTCTCTCTTTCCATCTCTCTTTCCCTCTCTCTTTCCTACCCTTTTTTCCTCTCTCTCATCTCTCGTCTCTCTCTAATCCCCCTTGACCCTTCTCTCTCTTTTTCCATTTCATCTCTCTCCTCCCCCTCTTTCCCACTCTCTATCCTTTCTCTCTCTTTCCTTCTCTCTCTCGCTCTCTGTCTCCTCGCTCTCTTTTTCCTCCCCCTCTTTCCTTCTCTCTCCCCTCTCTCTCTGTCTCCTCTCTCTTCTCCCCCTTTTGCCTCTCTTTCCTCTTTCTGTTTCATTTCTCTCTCCCTCTCTCTTTCCCCTTTCTCACTCTCCTCCCCCTCTTTCCCCGTCTCACTCCTTTCTCTCTCTTTCCTTCTCTCTCTTCTCTATCGCTCTCTGTCTCCTCTCTCTCCTCCCCCTCTTTCCCTCCCCCCTCTCTGTTTCATTTCTCTCTCTCCTTCTCTCTCTCCTCTCTGTCTCCTCTCGCTCTCTCTCTTTCTCCTCCTCCTATTTCCTTCTCTCTCTGTCTTCTCTTTCTTCTCCCCCCTCTCCCTCTCTCTTCTCTTTCTCTGTCTTCTCCCCCTCTTTCCCCATCTCTCTCCTTTCTCTCTTTCCTTCTCTCTCCTCTTTCTCTCTCTCCCTCTGTCTCTTCTCTCTTTCTTCTCCCCTTATTTCCTTCTCTCTCCCTCTCTCTCTTCTCCCCCTCTCTCTCTCCATCTGTCTCCCCCTCTTCCCCCGTCTCTTTGTCTCCTCCCCTCTTTCCCTCTCTCTCTCCCCTCTCTCTCTCTCTCTCTCTCTCCTCCCCCTCTTTCCCCCTCTCTCCTCTCCATCTCTTTCCTTCTCTCTCTTCTCTCTCTCGCCACTGTCTCTCTTTCTCCTCCCCCTCTTTCCTTCTCTCTCCTCTCTTTTTCCCTCTGTTTGCCTCCTCCCTCTCTCTCTCTCCATCTGTCTCCCTTCTCTCTGTCTCCCCCTTTCCCCCCCTCTCTCTGTGTCTTCTCTCTCTCCTTCCCCTTTTCCCCTCTTTCTCTCCTCTCTCTGTCTCCCCCTCTTCCCCCGTCTCTTTGTCTCCTCCCTCTCTTTCTCCTCCCCCTCTTTCCCTCTCTCTCTCTCTCTCTCTCCCCCCTCTCTCCCTCTCTCTCTCCTCTCTCTCTCCCCCCTCTCTCCCCTCTCTCTCTCTCCTTCCCCTCTTTCCCCCTCTCTCCTCTCCCTCTCTTTCCTTCTCTCTCTCTCTCTCACCTCTGTGCACATCCCTCTCTCATTTTCAGTCCTGTTCTTCGAGGATCTGAGCACACTCTCTCTTCCCTCTCTCCCTCTCTTCTCCTTCTACATCCCTCTCTCGTCTTCATTCCTGTTCGTGGAGGATCTGAGTGCACTCTCTCTCCTCTCCTTCTTTCCTCTTTCCTCTGTGCACATCCCTCTCTCATTTTCAGTCTTGTTCGTGGAGGATCTGAGCACACTCTCTCTCCTCCTTCTTCATCCCTCTCTCGTCTTCAGTCTTGTTCGTGGAGGATCTAAGCACACTTGAGGACGTTCTTCTCTCAGCTCTTCATCAGGTTCGGGCTTTTATTCTTCTTCTTTTGCACTGTAAAAGTTCAGACATTTACTGAAGTAGAATGATGTTTTATGGAATCACAGTTTTCATTCACAAATGTTCCTTAAATTCTGCTTGTGCTGATTTTTTAATTTTTTTTTTTTATTTTATTATCACGAGTTCAAATGATAAGTGTGTTTTTAATGTCACTGGGGGCTTCGAATTCACCCCTCAGCTTTATATTTTGAGTGATCCAAAAATGACTACTAGATGTCCATCATCAGAGTTTATTCAAACTAGTATTATGATTGGAAAACAAATAATAATGAGACACTGGAAGGACTCAGAGGAGCCAGCGTTTCATGAGTGGTTCACAGAACTGGCTAAAGTAGCCTCTTACAAACAGATGTCATTTAATATGTCAGATTGAATTTTAGCCTACAAAAACAAATGGGAAGCATATTTGAACTAGGTTAACTGTGACAGTAGTGGAGAAAATGAAACTGTATGAAGTGAGGAGTAACTGTAATGCAAAATATAAAGGATTTCAGTGGTTTTCTGTCTAGGAAAAAAAAAAAAAAAACTACTGAAATCCTGAAAATGTGTACTCGATACATGTGTATTCTAAAATGTACTGTATGAATGTGTAACCCGACTGCCTCCCTTTTTAATTACTAACTTATTATTTATTTTATACTTGTATGTATATATGTATGTATGAGTATATATATATGTATGTATGTATATGTATGTATGAGTATGTATATATGTATGTATGAGTATGTATATATGTATGTATGAGTATGTATATATGTGTGTATGAGTATGTATATTTGTGTGTATGAGTATGTATATTTGTGTGTATGTGTATGTATGTGTACATATATGTGCATATTGGTGTATGTGTGTGTGTGTGTGTATATATATATATATATATATGCATATATAAAATGTGGTGTATGTATATATGGTCTACATATTGTATGTATGTGTGTGTATATATGTATATATAATATATATATATATATTTTATATATACCTGGTATACATACGTATCATCATAATTATTATTGCTATTATGTTATTTTGTAAATATGTTATCATAATTTTTTTATTTTCTCTTTTTTTTTTTTTATTATCTACTTTCTATGTTTATATTGAGTTTAAGTATGGGGGGAAAAATAGGGCATGTATATCATGATTTATGTGGACAAAAAAGCACTGAATAAATTGCAAATTATATATATATAAAAAAAAGTCATTGGAGGCTTACAGTTACTTTTTGTGTGGTCATATTTTCAAAAGTTTGTTGTATTTTTCTGTATTCCAAATTTTATTCTATCACCACCATTTGATAAAAAAAAAAAAGACGCTCATTCATAATATCTGTAGAAAAAAAAAAAGCTGAATTCTCGCTGTTGAAGTGTTTTGGATGCCACTAAGATTTTTGTGTTTGTGGATATGAAAGTGGGAACAATGAATATATTGTGCTGTGTCAGATGCCCTCCCGTCCTCCTGTATCGGTGGTTTCAGATTCTAAAATGTGATGATGTCAGACTCCCAAACGGGGGCAGAGACACATTTCCCTTTTGATTACATCGCGCTTTGCCAGGAAATATCTCAAAAGTAAATTCTCAAATGTTGATCTTGGTGATTTGAACTTGGTGACGAGACCCAAGAGCTCATTTTGACAACATTCCTTTGAGCTGCCCCCGTCTGTATCATGATGTCATCTGAAAGCCAGCAGCTCCCGTGTGTCAGATGCCCTCCCGTCCTCTCTTCCTCGTTCACTCTGGTTCATCTGCAGATGTTGTGGTGTGTCAGATGCCCTCCCAGATGTTGTGAGTTGGAGAAATACAGTGGAAAAATGGAGCTTGTCACTGATAGAAATGATCAAGGAAAACATTTGTGGGTTTGACTTTTGGACATTTCTGGTTCAGACCTGGTTCATATCTGGTTCATATCTGGTGTAGATCTGGTGTTGACTTGGTTTAGACCTGGTTCAGACCTGGTTTAGATCTGGTTTTGACTTGGTTCAAACCTGGTTTAGTTCTGGTTCAGACCTGGTTCAGACCTGATTTTAGACCTGGTTTAGACCTGGTTTTAGACCTGGTTTAGACATGGTTCAGCCCTCGTTCAGACCTGGTTTAGATCTGGTGTAGACCTGATTCAGACCTGGTTCAGTCCTGGTTTACGTTTAGACCTGGTTCGGACCTGGTTTAGACCTGGTTCAAACCTGGTTCAGTCCTGGTTCAGACCTGGTTCAGACCTGGTTTAGACCTGGTTCTGGTTTAGACCTGGTTCAGGACCTTACTGTTTCGGTTGTGAGGTGTGACTGAACCACAGCTGTGTCTGAGGAATTTACTGCCCCCCCCCCCCAAACCCTACTGGAAACTACCCCCCCAGCAGCACCCCCTCACCTCTCCACCCCATGGAAACTCCACCGCCTCACCCACAACCCCACCACCCCAACCCTCACCCACAACCCTCACCCACAACCCACCACCCCAACCCTCACCCACAACCCACCACCCCAACCCTCACCCACACCCTCACCCACAACCACCACCCCAACCCTCACCCACAACCCACCACCCACACCCACCACCCAACCCTCACCCACAACCACCACCCACACCACCTCACCCACAACCCTCACCCCCAACCCACCAACCCTCACCCACCCAACCCTCACCCACAACCCACCACCCAACCCTCACCCACACCCACCACCCAACCCTCACCCACAACCCACCACCCCACCCTCACCCACCCCACCACCCCACCCACCCACAACCTCACCCACAACCCACCACCCCAACCCTCACCCACAACCCACCACCCCAACCCTCACCCACAACCTTCACCCACAACCCACCACCCCAACCCTCACCCCCTTCTCTGTCACTCCCAGTAACATCCTCACCCATTCATCCCTCCTCTCTTCTTCTCTCCCCTCATCCATTCACCTCCTAAGCCCTCTTCTTCTTAGTTCCCCGTTCACCCCGTTCACCCCGTCTCCCCCTGAACCTGAACCTGTGAAGTCAGTGTGAGTTATGGTGTTGTGAAGTTCTGGAGACGGGGCTGTGGCCCGGAACATCTCCCTACAGCTCTGATCCAGATTTATGGGCAGCAGTCACTCACCTGGAAGGTTAGAGGCTCCAATACTGCCACTGGCATTGTACCCTCAAGCAAGACACTTAACCCGCCTCTCCTGCAGGCACAGGTGTATGAATGAGTTCATCAAAGGGAGATTGAATCCTCGACGTTTTGAGCCAAATGCAAGGAGAATACTGCAGTACAATTGCAAGCAGCTCATTATCACATGAGGTGGGTTTAAGTGTCCTGCCCAAGGACACACTGACATCATTCATCTGAATCACTCTGCCAATGATGATTGTGTTGAGAGCAGGATTCACACTGCCAAACTTCAGACTGGTGGATAATCACAAACTCTCTGCCAACTGAGCCACTGTCAGCCCCTCTCTGCCCGCCCCAGGGCAGCTGTGGCTACAGAGGTTTACCATAACTGAGTGTGTGGAGTAAACAGTGCAGATACAGATGAAGATGCACTGTGCCAATCTGCTAGAGGAATGAAAATGTTCCACAGTATAGCATTAAACTTATCGATTTATTTAAACATTCATTTAAAGTGTGATTTTTATTGCTCAAAAATACGTGAAAACATAACTAAACATATATATATATATATATATATATATATATATATAATATATATATATATATACACACACACAACACACATATGTGTATATATATATATATATATATATATATATATATATATATATATATATATATATATATATATATATATATATATATATATATATATATATATATATATATATATATATATATACAGTGGGGCTTTAACCCTGTTCTAATGTGAGGAAATTATGTAGAACATTCCAGGCACAGCAGTAACATCTCCACAGAGACAGATGGTTACGGTGCAGCAGGAAAGTTCCATAGTGCAGCTTTAAGTCGAGCAGTAGGTTCAGGCCTGAGTGCGACAGTTGGAGCTCAGAGCTGTTGAGCAGCAGTGCTCTGGTCACTGTGAGCTGGCCTCATTTCCTCCTGGAGCCCTCATTAGTTTACACAGAGGCGTGAGGCGTTCAGGGACCTGTGGCTGCAGCAGAAACAGCTCATAAATCCGTGTTTCCTACAGATGCCCTGCCCCTGAAGCCATCACACCGTCTGCACTCAAGACGCTTTCTTTGGAAACTCCTCAAAAAAAACAAGGTCAAATCTGAGCCAAAATATCAACATCGTTTCTCATTTCTATCAGTGTTAATTAGATCCATATCATACTGCTATATTTACCCGACCACAACATGTGCGCGTTAAAGAGGGACTATCACACTTCTGTTACACTTTAACTGGAACACAGAACACATTTACATCACCATGTTACCTTCTGTTACTACTACTTATGTTTTATAAGTTTCTCTTTAGTTTTTTTTTTTTTGAAGTTTTGAGTCTCCCCTCCCTTTGCTCCCTTTGCTAAGTCACTCCCCCTTCCGATCCCTATCACAACACAATCAATGTACAGTTTTGTGTGTGTGTATATATATATTATATATATATATATATATATATATATATATAATATATATGTGTGTGTGTGTGTGTGTGTGTGTGTATATATATATATATATATATATATATATATATATATATATATATATATATATATATATATATATATATATATATATTTATGTACAGTCGTGGATAAAATGTTGGTACCTCTCTGGCAATGAAAGAAAAATCAACAATAATCACTGAAATAACTTGAAACTGAGAAAAAATTGTCCAACAAAAATCAAACATTGTTTTTCACCTGTGGTTCAACAGAATTATTAGAAAAAACAAAATAATGAAACTGGCCTGGACAAAAATGATGGTACCCTTAACTTAATATTTTGTTGCACAACCTTTTGATGCAAACTCTGCAAACAAATGATTTCAGTCACTGTCAATGACACTTCTGCACTGATGAAAAGGTATTTTGACCAATTTCTCGTGAGGAAAAGGCTCTAGTTGTCTCAGGTTTGAAGAGTTCCTTCTCCAGACGCATGTTTCAGCTCATTTCACAGATGTTCAGTAGAATTGAGATCTGGGCTCACAGAAGAACACTCCAGAACAGTCCAATGTTTTGTTCTTAGCCATTCTTGTGTGTTTTTAGCTGTGTGTTTCGGTTCATTATCCTGTTGGAAAACCCATGACCTATGACTGAGACCAAGCTTTTTGACACTAGGCAACTGTCATTCCAAAACACCTTGACAGTTTTGAGATTCCGTTGTATCTTGCACAGATTCAAGACGCCCTGTGTCAGATGCAGCAAAACAAAACCCCAGAACAAAACCAAACCTCCTCCATGTTTCACAGTAGGACAGTGTTCTTTTCTTGGTCTGCTTCATTTTTGTGTCTGTGAACATAGAGCTGATGTGTTTTGTCTCATCTGTCCAAAGGAAATTCTCCCAGAGGCTTTGTTGCTTGTCAATCTGCATTGTGACAAATTCCAGTCTCACTTTTTAATGATGTGTTTTTAGCAGTGGTGTCCTCACATGAAGTCCACTTTGGCTCAGTGGATGGTGTGATCTGACACTCATGTATCTCGCCCTTCGAGTTTAATTTGTTTGGAGGTTGTTCTGTGTTCTTTGGTTCCAGTCGTATGATCCATCTCTTCAATTTGTCATCACTTTTCCTCTTGCGGCCGCGTCCAGGGAGGTTGTCTTCAGTCCTGTGGACCTTAAACTTCTGAAGAACATGTGTAACTGTGATCACAGGAACATCAAGCTGCTTGGAGATGGTCTTATTGTCTTTATCTTTAACCTGTTTGTCTATCATTTTCTTTCTAGTCTCCTGACACAGTTCTCTTCTTCTCTTTCTCTGGTTCATGTTCAGTGTTGTGTCCATCATGTCTCCAAACAGCACAATGACACATGTCCCCCTTTAAACAGACACACTGACTGAGGACAAGTTTGAAGACACCTGTGACGCAGATTAGAGACACACTGAAGTTTAACCGTTTACAATCTTTTCTAGAGGTACCATCATTTTTGTCCAGGCCAGTTTCATTGGTTGGTTTTTTAAAATTCAAAAACAGTGTCTAATTTTCATTGGTTATTTGTCAGTAATTTTTTTATTTTATTTATTATTGCCTTTCTCAGTTTCAAGTTATTTCAGTGACCATTGTTGATTTTTCTTTCATTATATGAAGGGTACCAACAATTTGGTATATTTATGGAGAATTGTCGAGTGAGAGGATGGGTAACGTAGGCTTGTGGGCGGAGCCTTGTACAGGCTCAGGCATGTTTTTGATGAGGGGACAACAAGCAAAAAAAAAAAAAAAAAAAGAAAGAGAAGATTTTGCATAATACCCCCTCTTTAATCAGAGACGTGACCTGCCCCCATCACAGACTTACACCACAGGGATACAGGAGGATGGGAGGGCATCTGACACAGGGATACAGGAGGACGGGAGGGCATCTGACACAGGGATACAGGAGGACGGAAGGGCATCTGACACACATGTTGTCTGTGTCATTTCAGAGCTGGTTGCAGAGGCAGAGCTGAAGACATGTTCCCAGGGCGTTTCTAAGTGGGGCTTTTATTGTGAAAGGGTTTAACAGGAAACAGAATGTGTGTCCTCTTCCTCCTCCTCCTCCTCACCGTGACCTCTGCCCTCTGCCAGGACGTGAAGGTCGCAGGTCAAAGGTCATCTTCACAGGACGCCATCAAGGTGAATCACAACTACAGCGTCATTGGTTTAAATCTCCTATGTTCTCTCTGTTATCCTGTTCTAATGTGAGGAAATGTCCCGTAGTGGAGCTTTAACTGTTCTAATGTGAGGAAATGTCCCACACTGGAACTTTAACCCTGTTCTAATGTGAGGAAATGTCCCGCAGTGGAGCTTTAACTGTTCTAATGTGAGGAAATGTCCCTCACTGGAACTTTAACCCTGTTCTAACGTGAGGAAATGTCCCGTAGTGGAGCTTTAACTGTTCTAATGTGAGGAAATGTCCCACAGTGGAGCTTTAACTGTTCTAATGTGAGGAAATGTCCCGTAGTGGAGCTTTAACCCTGTTCTAATGTGAGGAAATGTCCCGCAGTGGAGCTTTAACTGTTCTAATGTGAGGAAATGTCCCGCAGTGGAGCTTTAACCCTGTTGTAAAGCAGCGTCCTCCTCAGAAACATCCCTGGACCTGTGTTTTGTTTCATTCACACATGTTTGGTTAATCCTGATGATTTTGTCACAGCTCGCAGCACTCTGTTTCACCTTCTGACATCATCAGTTGATCAAAAAGTGCTCCCCTGGGTTTTAAAGTGCTTAAGTCTCCACCAGACTCAAACGCAGCGCTCACACGACCCAAAGCACATGCGTGTGTTTGGTCCAAGCGGCTCGTGTCCTTCGCCTGGTTTAAAGTGGGTGAAAGTGAAGCTGTGTGTGTTTCAGGTGGTGATCTCCGAGGGCTGTGTGGCTCAGGCTGACGCTGCAGATGGAACCACAGGAGGTACCACCACATTATCAGAACCCCACACTCCTTCAGCTCCATGTTCTGTGTTAGTTCTAAAGAGAGGAGGTGTAGCCCCAGGCCTTACTCGCTTTAAAAAGACCTGACCCTGTGTCTCCAGAGTCTTCACCTGCAGACAGAGACACGTCCAAGTTTGTCTCAGTCTCAGTTTATGTTCAGGCCTCATGTGAAGCTCAGAACCTCTAGGATGCCCTCCCTGAGCTGCAGAGGCTGCACTAGCACTGACTCGTGACTGGTGCAGGTGCTGAGGTTTAGGCAGAGACCATTTGGATCATTAAGAGACATTTTAGGTCTAAACACGCTGGATTTAAACACTGAAACTGGCAACACAGGAGACAAGTTATGCATCAGGCCCAGTGTTTTTGTGATTAAGAAAAAAACAACATTACAATACTTGGAGACACAGACACATCACAGTAATACAAAATAACATTTTTTATCAAAGTCTTATGTATCCAATCTTAAGATTTGTTCTGTTTTAACTCATTAATGTCCAAAATTTTCCCAAAGATGCAATTATGGAATTCACATGTCATTTGTAGTACTTTGGCATTTTCAAAAAGTCCATGAAAAAAGTGAGTTTTATAGTTGGCTAATAACTTGTATTGTGAATTAATGTTGCCATAAGACAATTTTGATCAACTTAACATAAAAATATACTTTTTTATTTTGACTTTAGTCACTGAGATGGTAGATAGATCCTAGATGTTCTTCAGATTTGTCTCTATTGCTTGTAGAGGTCTTTGGAGGTTCCTCAGACTTGTCCATCATGCAGCTAGAGAACCGTGGATGTTCTTCAGATTTCTCTTTAGGTTCTAGAGGTGAATGAATTATGATTGTGTCATTTGTATGCGTCTGTTTGGTTCCAGGTAAAGAGCTGTCCCTGTCCCCCGGCTCTCCTCTGGTTTTGACCCATCAGATCCGGCTGGTCCCGTCTGGTTCTGGGTCTGGTCCCGGGTCTTGTGAGTGTGATGGGGACCTGTCGGCCCTCAGAGCTCGTGTGGAGCGGCTGGAGAGGGAGGTGTCTGCGCTGAGGGAGAAGTGTGGAGACCCAGAGAACCCAGGCTGCTGCTCCTCCAGCGAGAGCAAAGGTATCACACTTTACACACACGTGTTCTGCACAGTCCACTTTGAACCAGGTTAGAAGAGAGAGTCTCTCTCAGTTTGGATTTACAGCACAGACTCTAAATACAATCCTTTGTGAAGATGTGAGTCTGGTCACTGGTGAATCTCACCAAATCCAGATGAGTGTGATTGACAGGTGGATTAACCAATCAGTATGGTTCATCTGTATCAAAACAAAACTCTAGTCTAACCTCCAGCTCTGGTCTGACCTGCAGCTCTGCTCTGACCTGTAGCTCTAATCTGACCTGCAGCTCTAATCTGACCTGCAGCTCTGCTCTGACCTGTAGCTCTAATCTGACCTGCAGCTCTGGTCTGACCTGTAGCTCTAATCTGACCTGCAGCTCTGGTCAGACCTGCAGCTCTGGTCTGACCTGCAGCTCTAATCTGACCTGCAGCTCTGGTCTGACCTGCAGCTCTGGTCTGACCTGCAGCTCTGGTCTGACCTGCAGCTCTAATCTGACCTGCAGCTCTGGTCTGACCTGCAGCTCTGGTCTGACCTGCAGCTCTAATCTGACCTGCAGCTCTGGTCTGACCTGCAGCTCTGGTCTGACCTGTAGCTCTGGTCTGACCTCCAGCTTTGACTTGGCCGAGGAGCGTGACTCTCTCCAGAGCCAAACTCACTGCTGTGGGACTGAACCAGGCCGAGCGTCCCTGGTTCACGGAGCATTTGGAGAATATGTTAGTAAATATGTAAGTGAACATTTCAACATTTCAAATGCTTGTCTCCATGGAGATATTATTGTTTTGTCTGAGATGTTTCACACTATGGCATAAAACTTGAGTAGCTTGTATTTCTTGTGCGTATTCTCAGTGGGGTGATGCAATCAGGCCAAGTTACAGGACACATCTGTGGAGAAGCAAGCTCTCTCACGTAATAATGCAGGTTTTGGGGGATTTTTTGTCCATGTAATTGAATTAATAAAAAGATAAATAAGTGGTGCAGAAGAACATCCCAGGCATCGCCATTACATCTCCATGGAAACAAGGATATGAAAGACCTCCCACTTGAAAAGTTTGTGAACTTTTAAATGAATAATATTGAGTTGTTCAAAGCAGCTTATGGACCAGAAATTTTGCAGGATTTAATTCAATAATGTATTGATTAATGCATTCTACTGTGTTATAACCTTGCTCCCTCATCAAAGACACGCCCATACAGGTTTTAGAGTCATCCATGCATGGTGAGTCATCTAGCGATCTCTCCTTACGGTTATAAGCCTGTACAAGGCTCCGCCCACAAGCCTACATCACCCACGCTCCCACATGACAATTGTCCATAAATACAAAAAACATGATACAAAACTGTACACAACAACTGGACAAACCTGATGCGACGTGCAGGAATTTCATTAGTGGGATGCACTCTGATTGTGTTGTGATTTTGCTCTGAAGGGGGAGGGACTTATAAAACATGTTAACACTTTGTTCATGGCGAATATATAATTTTGAAAACAATAAAAGGTAACATGGTGATCTGAGTATGTCATGTGTTAGCAGTGAAAAGTCAAATACTCCCTCTTGAAAGGTCTTTAAATGTGCAATTCTAATTTCTGCTTCTAAATAAATCCCACACTGTTCTCCACACCAGAGCAGATTCCACACACACGCACACTCAAACACACACACACACACATATAAACACACACGCATGCAGAAACACACGCACATGCACACACAGTGAACAGGCTGCAGAGCTGTCATTGGTCCAGAGGAATGTCAGTGAGTCACAGGAGCCTCCCCTGGACCTGTTTCAGTCCTGGATCCTGGTCTTGGTCTGGATCCTGGTCTGGGCCTGGGCCTGGGTCTGGGTGGGACCTCTGTTCTGCGTGTCTTCATGACAAATTAAGAAAATCATCTACACTTAAGTAACTCACACTTGACTCCAGTTAAAATACTAATATTATCCACATATTCTGAACATTATTCATATTATCCACATATTATTAACATTACTTATATAATAAAAATATTATTAACAATACTAATATTATCCACATATTAACACTACTTATATTATCCACATATTATTAACAATACTAATATTATACAAATATTGTCAACATTACTAATATTATACACATATTAACATTATTATTATCCACAAATTATTAACAAAACGAATATTACACACACATTATTAACATAACAAATTAACATAACAAACATTAGGGGCGGGGCAGATATATTTTACAGTGTGATGGGGTGGGGCAGATATATTTTACAGTGTGATGGGGGTGGGCAGATATATTTTACAGTGTGATGAGGGGTGGGGCAGATATATTTTACAGTGTGTGAGGGGTGGGGCAGATATATTTTACAGTGTGATGGGGGCGGGGCAGATATATATTTTACAGTGGTGAGGGGTGGGGCAGATATATTTTACAGTGTGATGGGGGGGCAGATATATTTTTACAGTGTGTGATGGGGTGGGGCAGATATATTTTACAGTGTGATGGGGCGGGGCAGATATATTTTACAGTGTGTGGGGTGGGGCAGATATATTTTACAGTGTGTGATGGGGTGGGGCAGATATATTTTACAGTGTGATGGGGCGGGGCAGATATATTTTACAGTGTGTGAGGGGTGGGGCAGATATATTTTACAGTGTGTGATGGGGTGGGGCAGATATATTTTACAGTGTGTGAGGGGTGGGGCAGATATATTTTACAGTGTGTGAGGGGTGGGGCAGATATATTTTACAGTGTGTGAGGGGTGGGGCAGATATATTTTACAGTGTGTGATGGGGTGGGGCAGATATATTTTACAGTGTGTGATGGGTGGGGCAGATATATTTTTACAGTGTGTGAGGGGTGGGCAGATATATTTTACAGTGGAGGGTGCAGATATATTTACAGGGTGGGGCAGATATATTTTACAGTGTGATGGGGTGGGGCAGATATATTTTACAGTGTGATGGGGTGGGGCAGTATTGTGGTCTTTGTGGGTGAGCTCATGCTTGAGTTGGTGCCAGGACGAGCCTCAAACCCAAATGTTCTGAAGTCATAAAAGCACAGACGCTCCATTCTTATTTCACCTCGTGTTTCGGAGACTTTGGACCAAACTGTGGCCCTCGGACCGAATGCGGCCCTCAGAACTATGATCTATGGCCCTTTACCTCCTGCTCTGTTTGCCCAGATGATCAGGGTAGAGCCCTGCACGGACCCGCCGGACCCGACGCAGAACAGTGCGGCGCGGGACACATTATGAAAACTCACTGTGGGTGTAGGCGGAAGGGGCACTGCAGAACGCGGGAGGGGGACTGCAGAACGCGGGAGGGGGACTGCAGAACGCGGGAGGGGACTGCAGAACGCGGGAGGGGGACTGCAGAACGCGGGAGGGGGCGGGACTGCAGAACTCGGGAGGGGGCGGGACTGCAGAACGCGGGAGGAGGCGGGACTGCAGAACGCGGGAGGGGGACTGCAGAACGCGGGAGGGGGACTGCAGAACGCGGGAGGGGGGACTGCAGAACGCGGGAGGGGGACTGCAGAACGCGGGAGGGGGCGGGACTGCAGAACGCGGGAGGGGGACTGCAAGTACTTCCTGTATCACCACATGACATTAAAGTGTTTTCTGTTTCTGTTTGAGAGTAAATCTGCAGGGTTTGTGTGTTAAACATGTGTGAATGAAAGAAAACACAACTCCAGCTCTGTTTGTGTTTGTGATGAGGAAACAACATCAGAACATGCACTGAAAAAAAAAAAAAGGTTGCTGGATTTGCGTAAAAAAGTTCTGGAAAGCAGTTGCATGCAATAAAATTATGTTTAGGCTTTGAAACTTATTTCAATCCTCTTATACACATATTTTTCTCAGAACATGAATGTCACTTATTCGTGTTGATGAAATTTGATTAATTCATGCTGAATATGCATATTTATCTTATGTTACCTTATCATGAAATGTATAAGTATGTATAATTTAATTTAATTGATCTAATTCTGTAAAAGAATACAAAAACAGTCTTTAGTTTTTCACAGTTCTATATTGTCTTAAACAGAATCAAACACACAGAGACACACAAGTACAGAGACACACAGTTTGGAGCTGGACAGTGTGAAGATTTATTCCAGTGAAGAAGCTCTGGTCTCTGCCTGTGAACACACGAATAACACATGATGATCACATTCTGATCATCTACTCTCTGTTGTACATGTTTAAATACACTTATAACAATTATTACTACAATAATGGACCAGAACAGAATCACAAGAACATTAGAACTGTATCTGCAGAAACAAAACTCACTCATGAAGTTCATTTAGAAAAATTTGTTTAAAATCATTTTAGTTGAGTTACTTACTTTGTTCATCTGTGCTCTGTGTTTTGTTGGTTATTAAACATCTTCCTTTTTTCTGAAACATCAGCTGTAACATTCATGAACTTCCCCACAGCTCCAGCAGAGCTCAATGCTGCGTCCATGTTTGGACAACTTCTATAAACACAGAGACGCTCGCTGCGGTTGACGTCGTCGTGTCTCCAGTGCACATGCGGGACACTTTCGGGCCGTTTACTGTTCACACTGGAGTCACATACAAGTCGCATTTAATTGGAAATGTGCAAAAACAAAAACATCGGATTTCACAAAATTTTTTTTAATTGAGCGTTAAGCCCTGCAGTCTCAACGTGGCCTTTGTGTATAAATGATCTCTGTGTTGTAATAAAAATGATAAATATTTAGCACGGGTAATCAAGTCACAAACATGAAAACATTCTAGTGAAAACACAGTGGAGCACTTCCTGTATCACCACATCACATTAAAGTGTTTTCTGTTTCTGTTTGAGAGTAAATCTGCAAGGTTTGTGTGTTAAACATGTGTGAATGAAACAAAACACGACTCCAGCTCTGTTTGTGTTTGTGATGAGGAAACGACATCAGAACATGGAGCAGAAAATAGTGTTGTATGAGAAGGCCTGCAACGAAAACAGATTTTGCTGGATGATTAAACGAGAATATCGACATTTTGAGACCATTTTCAACTAATATTATTATTATTATTATTCAACTAGGGCCATGGAATAAAAATGCAAATACATCCTCTCAATGATCAATAAATGTTACTTTCTGAAGAACATTTAAAACAAGAACAAAACAACAGGCCTAAATAAAATAGATTTGTTAACATAAGAATATTCTGGTTTATACAAAGGACTTGTTAACAAAAATACACTTGAATAAACCATTGCTGAACCAAACACAACAAAAATATTAAATAAAATGGATTATTAAATCTCTGTAACAAAATTGCCCTTAAAAGTGTTTTTAGTCATTGATTTACATTGGAATATTGTGGCTTGTCATTTTGGTGTTGAAGTGTTCGTATTAATCCGTGACACATGATCCTGTTTCTCTGTCCTGTCTGGTATTGTGTCTGGTATCGTGTCTGGTATCGTGTCGGTGTCTTGTGGGATTTCAATAGATTTCGGGCTCTTCTCGGGGGCTGGTTGTGTGGCTCGGGTTTGGGTGTATGTCAGCTGCTGGGCTTTGAGACGTTTCTTCTCGTCGTTTGGTTCTCCCTGCATTTGAAGCGTGCGGCCTTTGAGACGTGTCCCGCTCACTCGTGTTGATTCGGCATCGTGACTTGTTTTGTCACACGGAGATGAACTGTTTTGATTCTGATTGCGGCACTTGTGTCATGTTCAGCGGCATGGCAGCGGCGCTTTCTGCACTCGAGCTACGCACGTACCTGCTGTGCTGATGAACAAATAATCCGCCTAGTCTACGCTGGCATGTTCATTCAAACGTCATTACGCTCATTAAACGAGAGGAGTCAGAGAACGACAGAAGCCTTTTGACATTTAGGCTGCGTTCAGACTGCAGCCTGAAGTGACCCAAATCCAATTTTTGGCCCCTATGTTCCTGTATCTGATCTTTTAATGACAGTCTGAACAACACAGATCCGATTTTTTCAAATACGACCCAAGACACGTGGAAATGTGCTCCTGAAACTGATATATATCCAGTCTTTTAACATGTGACTTCAGTCTGAACGGTCAAAGCGCATTCGTCCGACCTACACATTATCAACAAGCTACAAACGTCACTATTCTGCGCTGAAGTAGACGAAATTTGTTAATGAACTCTGTGTCACTGAAGTGAAGCACATCACCACTCACCACTCTTGGCTACGTCTCCACATCCACACGTTCCTTTCAACAGACATCGCTGCCGCTGTCCCACAAAACACCACGGCCAAAAACCTCGTCCTTCTCCTTCTCAATCTCCTCCTTAAAACAAGTAAGTTGTTCATGTTCTGGCTCCAGTACGAGAGGAACTTTAAAATCTCCAGGTGCTCAATGCTCGCTGTCCATGTTTGTACAACTTCCGTAAACACAGCACGCTCACTGCGGTTGACGTCTTCGTGTCTCCAGTGCACATGCGGGACACTTTTGGGCCATTTACTGTTCACACTGGAGTCACATACAAGTCACATTTAATTGGAAATGTGAACGACTTCGCAAAAACATCGGATTTCACAAAAAAATCTGGATTGAGCGTTAAGCCCTGCAGTCTGAACGTAGCCAAAGTCTCTATGGTAGAGAGAGAGAGAGAGAGAGAGAATGAAAACAAACACATGCAAATAGAATTTATCTTGGCTGGAAAAGTTATTGAGCTCGTTAAAAGTTATTGTACGATTAATTGATTTACTGATTATTGTTACAGGTCTAAGTATGAGCCGTTAATAATAATACAAAAATATACATATTCTGCTTGAAAAATACTCTGAAAAGTACAATTCCTTTAAAAAAGTTACTAATGTTAATGTAACAAAAGTTTAACTCTTCACTTTCAGACCAGAGGAGCTCCCACAACCATGAGCCTCTTTACAGAAACACGTTTCTGGAAAAGCAGACGAGGAATTGTGCCAGAAAATTAAGATGTTCAAGATGTGGCACGAGATCTGTCCCCAAACACTGACTGCTCCAGTCATCTGAGCTCCAATAATGTCATGTCCATGAATCAGTTTAAGTGAGGGAAATGATGAACGTGCTGGTGTGGGGAACATTAGATCACAGGGCTGTATGTCAGAGCTTTTACAAAAAAAAGCTTTTCATGAGTTTATCATTTTTACATACTGTGAGATTTATGTAGAATTTCACGACAAGCGCCCGGCACTCTAGTATTATTCTGAAATACCCATGTGACCTGACTGAAGACTTGAAGTGAATTTTCAAAGGACATTTTTGCTTTAGCAGAGACTGTGGTCCTTCACATGTGACACATACGTCATCTGCAGGAGAAAAGCTCTCTAGAGGAGTCATCCATCTTCACTATGTTCTTCCTCTGTATCCGGGGCCGGGTCGCAGAGGCAACAGTCTGAGCAGAAACTCCCAGACTTCCCTAACCCCAGACACTTCTTCCAGCTCCCCCAGACCTGGTCCCGGACCCCGAGGTGTTCCCAGGCCAGCCAAGAGGCATAGTCCCTCCAGCGTGTCCTGGGTCTGGAACATTCCCAGAACACCTCCTCAGGGAGACGTCCAGGAGGTATCCAGAACAGATGCCTCCCCTCAGCTGCTCCGCTCCATGTGAAGGAGCAGCGGCTCTACTCTGAGCAACTCACCTTATGTCTAAGCGAGCGAGGTGAGGGTAAGAGATGAATAAATCAAGGACTTTGCCTTTGGCTTCAGCTCCAGAACAACCATCCAACTGTCAGTCACATGCTCCATCCTTCCCTCACACATGAACATGAACCTGACATACATGAACTTCTCCACTTGAGGCAGGGACTCCTGGAAAAAGGTGTGTCACCCTTTCATCCGGACTGTTTTTTACATCAAGACATTTCCACTCCCATCCAGAAGTCATTTTCAATCTGAAAGCTCTGATCTGAGGAGCTCGAATTTCAACTGCTCAGAGGGAGGGGGGTTGTCTGGGATCCAGAACACACACTTCACCAACACTTTATGAAGATGTGAGTCTGGTCACCAGTGATTCTCCACAATCTGGGACAAATTATTTTACAGTTTAAACGTCCTATATTACACAGAGTTAACTCTTGTGAACTTTTTGCCATGTTTTAATGTTGTTACCTCCTCAAAACCACACATGGAGTTCACACATCCTCTGTTATTAGTCTGTCTACATCTCCAAAGTTCTAAATGCTCTGTTCCACTTTATGATGTCAACAAGAAATAGTTTTCAAGTGAACAGCTCATTTAGTTGAGTAGAGATTGGAAATTGCTGGGCTGAAATCATCCATATGATTCTGGGGAAGAAGAACAGAGTCTTAATTAAATGTGCGGAGTTTGTGTGTTAAATGTGAGAAAACAAATCACGACTCCAGGTCTGTTTGCGTTGAGGAAACAACATTATAACAGATCAGAAAATCAGCTAATATGGTCTTCATTTTTAGTGTGAAATATTGTTCTTACTGTGATCTCTCTCCTCCACAGGTCCAGGCTGCTCCATCTCGCCCGACTCCCGTCTGTGCCCAAACGACTGCAGTGACCAGGGCCGCTGCGTAGACGGCCACTGCCAGTGCTTCCCCGGCTTCTCCGGAGCTGACTGCGCCAAGGAGGAGTGCCCCGTGGACTGTGGCGAGAGGGGGCGCTGTGTGGACGGGGAGTGCCAGTGCGATCCTGGGTTCAGCGGTCCGGACTGCTCTCAATCCTCCTGCCCCGGGAACTGCAACAACAGGGGGCGCTGCGTGGACGGGAAGTGCGTTTGTGAGTCCGGGTTTGGAGGAGAAAACTGTGCCGATAAAACCTGCCCCGGGAACTGCAACAACAGGGGGCGCTGCGTGAACGGGAAGTGCGTTTGTGAGTCCGGGTTTGGAGGAGAAAACTGTGCCGATAAAACCTGCCCCGGGAATTGCAACAACAGGGGGCGCTGTGTGGACGGAAAGTGTCAGTGCAATCCTGGGTTTGGAGGAGAAAACTGTGCCGATAGAACCTGCCCCGGGAACTGCAACAACAGGGGGCGCTGCGTGAACGGGAAGTGTCAGTGCAGTCCTGGGTTCAGCGGTCCCGACTGCTCTAGAGCTACCTGCCCTGGAAACTGTAACAACAGGGGGCGCTGTGTGGACGGGAAGTGTGTGTGCAATCCCGGGTTTGGAGGAGAAAACTGCGCTGATAAAACCTGCCCCGGGAACTGCAACAACAGGGGGCGCTGCGTGAACGGGAAGTGCGTTTGTGAGTCTGGTTTCGGCGGTGCGGACTGTGGCAGTAAAATGTGCCCGGATAACTGCGGCGGTCGCGGCGTGTGCGTGGACGGGAAGTGCGTGTGCGATTCCGGGTTTGGAGGAGAAAACTGCGCCGATAAAACCTGCCCCGGGAACTGCAACAACAGGGGGCGCTGCGTGGACGGGAAGTGCGTTTGTGACAGTGGATTTAAGGGGGTGGAGTGCGCGGAGAAGGCGTGTCCAAACGAGTGCAGTGGGCGGGGCAAGTGCGTGGACGGGCGCTGCGTCTGTGAGGTCGGCTTCACCGGAACAGACTGCAGCGCTAAAGGATGCCCCGGGAACTGCAACAACAGGGGGCGCTGTGTGAAGGGGAAGTGCGTATGCAGGAGAGGCTTCAGCGGAGCCGACTGTGGACAGTGTCAGGAGGGACTCACTGGACCCAACTGTGACACAGGTATGACACGTGCGGTATGACAGGTGTTTTGCAGGTATGACAGGTGTGTGACAGGTGTGGCGCAGGTGCAGGGCAGGTGTGGCCTAGCAGCTGTATTCCAAACAGGGAAGTTCTATGAGGCTCTTCCTGCTCCTTTTGACTCTGGCTCCCATTGACTTCCACTGGAATATTGTGGCTCCTCCTCTCACTGCTGTTGTGAGCCTCGTCATTTTGGTCTTCACATATTTGTATTAACTCACTCTACATGGTCCTGGTGTTTCCCCCCCACCATTTTCTCCATCATAAAAATTCTGTTCATAACATAGAGCAGGGGTGGGCAATTATTTTTTCCATGGGGCCACATGTGAAACAGAAAATATTGTGGAGGCCAAAAGGCTTAACTCATTTCTGCATAATATTTCTTTATGAAAAGCAGTAAATATCATTGTTTTGACAAGCTGCTCAGACTGGTAAGAATTAATTTTATGACTAAGCAAAAAAAAAAAAAAAAAAAGAGGTTCCCTTACAAAAAATTTATTTAAAAAAACAAACAAAAAACTCTTAAATAAAAGTAATGCAGCTTTAGTACATGCATGTGGTCAAATTATAAAATAACTTTATTTTGTAATTCTTCTGGCCCCGGAGCTGGACAGTGTCCAGGTCTGACATAGAGCCTGACTCCAAATTCTCTCCTGGTACCATCAGCATCGTGAAGATTCTTTGAGCGGCGCTGAACGCTGTGAGTGACGTCACACTACAGGTGTAAAACAGGTGTGACAGGTGTGACACAGATGTGACAGGTGTGACACAGATGTGACACATGTGTTTGACAGGTGTGACATAGATGTGATAGGTGTGACACAGGTGTGTGACAGGTGTGACAGGTGTGGGACAGGTGGGACGCAGGTGTTTGACAGGTGTGACACAGGTGTGACACAGATGTGGGACAGGTGTGGGCAGGTGTGACACAGGTGTGACACAGGTGTGACACAGGTGTGGGACAGGTGTGTGACAGGTGTGGGCAGGTGTGTGACAGGTGTGGGCAGGTGTGACACAGGTGTGACACAGGTGTGACACAGGTGTGGGACAGGTGTGTGACAGGTGTGGGCAGGTGTGACACAGGTGTGGGACAGGTGTGTGACAGGTGTGGGCAGGTGTGACACAGGTGTGACAGGTGTGGGCAGGTGTGACACAGGTGTGACAGGTGTGTGACAGGTGTATGACAGGTGTGGGCAGGTGTAGGATCCGCCGCTGCAGCTCCCTGTCCACAGCCTGATCAAATATATTTAAGTGCAGAAGAAAAAGAAAAGCAGCTGCAGATCTTCACAGAGGGACAAAGTGAAGGCCACACACTGGAGCAAATACTGTGGAACATTCCAGTGATCACATCTCCATGGAGACAAAGCGTGTACTCCACTGGGACAGGTTACGTGTCAGGTTTATGGAGGCTTTAAATACAGAAGACGGATGATTTCTGTCTCCACATGTTAAAGGAAGCAGGGGGAAGTGCCTGGGGAGAGGGAGAGCCGCTATCTGCATTAAATAAAGACGCAACATAAACTCTGATGATTGAGATCAAAGTCGCGACGGGTTTGGGGTTTCGGGACTAAATAAAAACATGGAAGACCAGATATTTCATGATCTGAACCAGGACTGGACCAGATCTGGACCAGGACTGGACCCAGAGGCACCACTGATGTAGGTCTTTTGTATCGGGTCTTTTCTTCAGACAGTGAAGTCTCTGATCTGCTCAAACTGCACTCTGACACCAACGTCCACAAACATATACAGCAGAGAACTAAACCAGGACTAAACCAGGACTAAACCAGGACTAAACCAGGACTAAACCAGGACTAAACCAGGACTAAACCAGAACTAAACCAGGACTAAACCAGGACTAAACCAGAACTAAACCAGGACTAAACCAGGACTAAACCAGAACTAAACCAGGACTAAACCAGGACTAAACCAGGACTAAACCAAGACTAAACCAGGACTAAACCAGGACTAAACCAGGACTAAACCAGAACTAAACCAGGACTAAACCAGAACTAAACCAGGACTAAACCAGGACTAAGTCAGGACTAAACCAGGACTAAACCAGACTAAACCAGAACTAAACCAGGACTAAACAGGACTAAACCAGGACTAAACCAGAACTAAACCAGGACTAAACCAGAACTAAACCAGGACTAAACCAGGACTAAACCAGAACTAAACCAGGACTAAACCAGAGCTAAACCAGAACTAAACCAAGACTAAACCAGGACTAAACTAAACCAGAACTAAACCAGGACTAAATCAGGACTAAATCAGAACTAAACCAGGACTAAACCAGAACTAAACCAGGACTAAACCAGAACTAAACCAGGACTAAACCAGGACTAAACCAGAGCTAAACCAGAACTAAACCAAGACTAAACCAGGACTAAACCAGAACTAAACCAGGACTAAATCAGGACTAAATCAGAACTAAACCAGGACTAAACCAGAACTAAACCAGGACTAAACCAGGACTAAACCAGAACTAACCCAGGACTAAACCAGGACTAAAATCAGGACTAAACCAGGACTAAGTCAGGACTAAACCAGAACTAACCCAGGACTAAACCAGGACTAAACCAAGACTAAACCAGGACTAAACCAGAATTAAACCAGAACTAAACCAGGACTAAACCAGAACTAAACCAGACTAAATCAGGACTAAACCAGGACTAAACCAGGACTAAACCAGAACTAAACCAGGACTAAACCAGAGCTAAACCAGAACTAAACCAAGACTAAATCAGGACTAAACCAGGACTAAATCTCTTGTGTTGTTTCAGTGATGTCGGCCGTGGAGGAGCTCCACACCAAAGACTTGACCCAGTCCTCGGTCACTGTGGTCTGGACTCAGCCTCCGGTCCAGTACGAGTCCTACCTGCTCAGCTTCTCCAGCCAGGTACATCCCCATGCTAACAGCGCACTTCCTGCTTCACAGACAACTAAAAAAAACAAAAAAAAAAACTTTATAATTACAGTAGAGGCAGACGGTACACAGCGACCTCATTTTGACCTCAAGGGCTGCTTATAAAATAGATCTGTACATTGGCAAATTTTACTCGTACTTGAGTAAAAGTCGTGCTTCCTCGTGACAAAAGATTTATGTGACAAGCTGACATGATTTGAACATTTGTGTTTCTTGCAGCTGCTTCAGATTTGATTTAGTTTGTCTCATTTTTGTGTCCGTCCTTTGAAAATAACAGATTTATTTCATGTTTTGTCCTTCACATTACATTAACTTCAAATGATAAAACAGATGTTCCTGACATTGTCTCTCTCTTTTCTTCTCTTACTTGAGTAATACTTTTCCCAAATACTTTTTGACTCTACCAAGACTTTCTATTTGAGTAATATTATTTTGAAGTAACGTAACTCTAATTTACTTGACTCTTTGGACACTCTACAGCTCTTTCAGACGGTAAAAGCGATAGTTATTTTGCACTTTGTCCTACTCTTGGTATTTCCAGGACCTGTCTGTTTACTGTAGCTCTTAGAACCAGATAAACAAACGACGTTCACTTAAAAGGAGCAAATATGAAGCAGACACTCGAGAGGATCAGAGAGGTACACAGGAGACAGGACACAGGAACGATATTTTTGAGAAGGAAAGTACAGTCTAAAATGGCTTTCAAGTACTTATATATTTGTCTATTTCTGACTTGGTTTGGTGGGATAGTTCCTGTGGTCAACATGTATCATAGTTTTTAAGCAGTTTATTGATGTTAAAAAAAAAAAAAGAAAAAAAAAAAGTAGTGCAAGCAGTGCTGAGTCCCTCTGCCTAAGTCATTACCATGGAAAACTCCAGCCAAAATGACAATTTATGGACAAGGGAGGATTTTTCCTGACAGTTTAAACCTTCATTAATCTAAATGAAGGTGTAATTTATTAATTATTATTAGATATGAATCATAACTACTATATAACTTAGACAAGCCTTTTTTACATTAGGTTGCTAAACACTGTTGGGCAAGTTACTTTAAAACTGTAATGTGTTATTTATGACTTATTACTGTCATTTCAAAGTAATTCGTTACATTACAATATTACTGCATTTAAAATGTAAAACATTGCATTACTTTAAGTTACTCTCACCAAAATAACTGTGAAAAAGCTGAACTTTTGAGCCGTATATGGACTGAACCAGAACTAAACAAGGACTAAACCAGGATTAAACCAGAGCTGAACCAGGACTAAACCAGGACTATAACAGGACTAACCTCAGACTGATTCCAGGACTGAAGAGGAGGACTAAACCAGAACTGAACTAGGACTAAAACTGGACTCACTGTCAGGACGGGCTCGAAGGTGACCGACGGCTTTGCTCCGCACCTCATGGAGGTAAGAGCGGCTGTCGCCCGATCGCTCTTTATGGACACCCTACTGCGCGGGCTCGCGGTCCTGATTTCAGCAACTATTTGCGGGGACCCAACTCTGCTACAGCGCGTAACTTCTACCTTCCTTCAACGTGTCCAGAAGTCCAACTTTTTGTGCAATGGTTTGCATCGTCCTCTGTCTTTTGGGTGTGAGCACAGGAGACTTTGTCAGTGCAGAACGTTTCGTCGACGTTGTGGATTTTGTCAGAGAGAAAACTTGCAGACATACAGCACTTCAGAATCACACTGCTACAGATTGAACATTTATTTAAATTTGGCAGCTGAACACATTCTGTACTGTACAGGAGACAGGAGTCCCTTAGCCGATCAGGATGCAGCGGGAGGAACGCAATACGTGTTCATACATTAAAAACAAAAGGCATGCAAAATTGCACAAAAAAAAAATAAAAAATAAAATCAGCAAAACAGCGAGACCATGAAAAGTGAACCCCGTTAGAGCGAGGGACGACTGTAAACCAGGTCTAAACCAGAAGTGACCCAGGTCTAAACCAGGTCTAAACAGCGTAGAGTTCTGGGTCAGTCCTTTCTTTCTTTAACTGAAGGTCTATCCAGCCGCGTCTCCGGCGTTTCCCTGCTGCTGATTTTAGCTAATTTCTATGAAGAAAAACCCACCACTTCAATCCAGGTTAAAAAAGCATTGTAATGCGCGTTACTCACATTTGACCGAGTACAATATTACAATTTTTTCTACTGTAATGCCTTACATTACTGCATTACAGCAAAAATCAACGCATTACTGTAATACATTATTTTTTATAATGCGTTACTCCCAACACTGTTGCTAGGTAACTGTTATGGAATTTCCTTTACGTGTGTCACATCTGCTACTTCTGTCCAACAAGTCAAGTCAAACCATAATCTTCACCAAAATTACAGACATAGAAAATACATTTTTTTTTGTCAAATCTTAAATGCAATGATGTTAACTTTGTTGTAGATCAGTTTTTAGTCAAACTTGTCAAATGCACTTTAAATGACCTTTAAATTAAGATTACAAGGTGCTCAGTCTCATTGCATTTTTGCCAGTTCTATCAGTTAACAGAAAAAAAAAAAGAAAAGAAAGAAAAAAAAAACTGCTGCTGATGTGCGAGCTCATTTCAAACACTGTGGAAACATCTAAACGTTTGTATCTAATAAATAGAGTCCTGCTCATTGAAAAACTTCACCGTATGCCATTACCCTTTTGAATGGACCAATGAGCTGTGAGCGTGGCGGTCATGTGACGTGCTGGCAGAGGGCAGTGTTGACGTCAGGACACAAACACTGAAGCACACAGACTAAACTCAGAGACAGATTATGGACTCGCTGTTTGTTTGAATTCACATTAAACACTCATCATTCAGAAGGAGCTGTGCCAAAACTCACTGTCAACAGCTGAAAGGTCTATAAATGTATGACAGTAAACACCGGTGAGAAGTGTGCCAAAACTCACTGTCAACAGCTGAAAGGTCTATACATGTTCGACAGTAAACACCGGTCAGAGCTGTGCCAAAACTCACTGTCAACAGTTGAAAGGTCTATACACGTCCGACAGTAAGCACCGGTCAGAACTGTGCCAAAATTCACTGAACAGCTGAAAGGTTGACACACGTGCAACAGTGAGCACCGGTCAGAGCTGTGCCAAAACTCACTGTCAACAGCTGAAAGGTCTATACACATCATAGCCTGTAAATGGACATAGTTAACTAGTAAACTATCACATTCTGAGTAGGAAGTAAGCGCACGTTTCAGCTCCAGTGACTTTTGAAATATTATCACCCCTTTTTCATTAAATGCTGCTGTCAGGCTCCTCATTTTGGTCTAAAATGTTTGTATGAACCTGCTCTACATGATCCTGGGGTTTTTATTTCACTATTTTGTCAAGATATCAAGATAAAGATATGAAGATTAATACTGGAACAATCAGACGCCTTCTGTCCAAAAGGTCGCTAGAAACAAGTTTAACTCACAGTGTTGCTAAGAGCCCGTCCCTTCCACACCAGTGTTATGGTTGGGAAGGGTCATTACCCTCAACAGCCTCGCTCCTGATTGGCTCTGTTGTTGCTATGATACTCAGATGATTTCCAAATATTGAACTCTGTTGGTGGCATTACATTCCCTTAGTCCACTTCTTTACACAGCCCACACTGTAAAATCTAAAAAGTAGACCTTACTTGAAAAGTCTAGGAAACTGATTGCCTTGAAAAATCTGACTAAAGTGGAGTGTGATTCTAAAGCTGAGTTTACAAGTCATCCCTCAGTGTAGTGTTCAGTAAATTCCTCTTTCTTCTAGCTCGGCACAGCAAGTTTCATTCATAGAACTCGTGTTGTGAAGCTGTGCCAACTAAAGTCACATTTACCTTTATTGTTAATTTCTTCACATATACTAGATATACAAAGGAATTGAAATTAGGTTTCTTTCTATCCCAGGCGTGGTCTTTTTTAGTGCAAAAGGTGTATAATACAAGGCACAAGACAGTCTTTTTTTTAACTAATCAGTCAGTTCCTCCAATCTGAAATATGTAGTCACCTTTACTTTACGAGGAAGTTCATCGTACTTGGTAAAACCATGGAAACGGATTGCCTTGAACTGAGCAAATAAATGTTACATATATACAAAAACAGGTCCTATTCTACAATAATGTCACTTAGAATATCATAATATTTAAATTAATATTTATTAGTCTTTGGAAAAAAACTAAGCAAAACTTTTGTTCAGCTTCAGTTGAAGTTAATGAAATAATACAGCTCAGTCATTCAGTCAAGAGGTGTAATCCAGCACAGACTGAATGAACAGAGGAGGATATAGAGACATCCTGGGATGATTCCGGAATGAGTGGCGGCTGTAGGAAAAAACAGGGAGGAAGCAAAAAGAGGAGTGGAACAGACTGGGAAATGGAGCTGGACTCTCGGCAATAACACGTCACTGTTGAAGTTCCTCGTCTCATTCAAGTTGACCTCAGTCTAATTGACAAGTCATGTGCTTTTTTTCACCTAGAAATTAACTGTTACTTTGCCACAATCATTAAGATCCACAAATTCATAGCTGTGAGTGAAGTAAACGAGCTGTGAACCAGTGAACCACGGTGTTGGATTTGAGAGTGTGTGATGCACACAACAGCACCAGTCAGAGATTTGACAAAACTCACTTTGCTGTGAAATGAAAGACATAAGTGTGAGATGAACAGCTGAAAGGTCTCTACATACTGCATTGGTATGTGCCACAAATCTCTACTCTATGGAGGCAAAAACATGACAGTCAGGATGTGATCAGCTGAAAGGTCTGCACATTTGCAAGACTGTGCAGCGGCTCAGAGCTGATGAGACAGAGGACAGTCACACAGTCACACAGTCACACTTCCTGACTTCTAAATGATGTCTCTATAAATAAACAAGAGCAAACATGGCTCCAATAAAATAGGAAGTGTAAGAAATATTAATGTGAAAAAGACAATCACCCTGATTTAATTTGAAAACAATTTCAAAACCAGAACTGTGTGAGAGAGTGTAAAAGATTTCAACTTGGCAGTGACTTCATCGCAGCAACAGCAAACAATAACAAAAACCAAGGACGGGGCTTGACCAGAACTAAACCAGGTCTCACACCAAACCGGACCTAAACCAGTCCCAGGTCTGGACTGAGTCTGGGTCAGAAAGGGAGCAGAAAAATGGCCGACGCAGGGACAGATGTGACGACATTGAAGATGAGGGCTGTTGTCATGGAGACCAGTAAACAGTGTCACAAACATGGCGTCGGCCAAAGAGATGACTTCAGCTCCTCAACACAGCTGGAGCGCCCAGAAAAAAATAACAGAAACATGAACAGAGAGAGAAAGAGAGAGAGAAAGAGAGAAGACATGCACGCTCCAGTCAGACAGAGCAGGAGTCTAACCCACAACCAGGAGACAGGCTAACCACTCTGCCACACTAACACAGGGAGAACATGCATTCAGAGAGTGGAGTGTGGATTCTTTCTTTGTCCTCTGTCACTGTCTGGACTTTGAGCTGATCTAAAGGTTATTGTGAATATATTACTAATGTTTATTGTTGTTGTCAAGGAAACAGACCAAAGCCCGGCTCTGGGGAGAGCTGCTCATTCATTCACTAAACAAAAGAGGTTTCTGATCAGGAACAAGACTGACCCTCTGTGCTGCACTGCACAGGTCACGCCCCCTGCTGGTGCGCTGAAGAATGTAGCAGTGTAAATATTGTGTCTTTAACACCCAGGGAGTAACATCAGGCACTGGGCCTGGGCCCTTAGGGGCCTCTATTGTGCAGTCTGTTATTGTGCTCGTATAATGAGTCATCCATAAGGATTGCACTCTGTTTGTCTATAAAACAGTTAAACAGACTTTATTTGATCCACACTGACTTTTGTTTTGTTGCTTGTTTGGTTGGCAGCCTCTCCTCTGTCACTGTGCCCCAGGGCAGCTGTGGCTACAGGAGCCGTGGAGTGTGGCTGAGTGATGACACAGTGGAGCTGTTGGAGAGTCTGTAAAGAGCATTAAGAGGGAAGGGCATTGTTGTTTTGAGAAAAGGAAAGTGAAAGTGCACAGTGCAGTTTAACTGGGCTCAGCAGCAGCCTGCTTCAATCAGACCTGAGACTTTTGATCAGAGCTGCTGCAGCTCCAGGCGCCCTCTGCTGTTTATAAAGGGAACCCCCCAAACACTTTCCATTTGATCCCAGAGTTTATTTGAGCCTCTGATAAAGAAGCAGATCAACCCCAAATGATCAGGATTAGATTCTTAATGACTAATGTTGTCCAGATGTGACGTGCTCTGCCTCCATCTCACCAACTCTGTGTCCCACCATCTCCCACTCACATCCTCCAGGGAAATGAATTCAAAATGTTTTTAAATGGACTGGAAAATAAAGTTAATGGTGCACTATGTAACATTTTCTGGGGGACGGTCTGCCACCTGCTTGACTCATTTACAGTATGTTTAATGCCCTACTGTGTAACATCTCCATGGAGACGAGCATGGGGCGGACCCTCAACCAGAGAACCTAACCTTTTTATATGCAGTATATTTTAAACTGACAAACACTCACACACTCAGATGAAGAGGAGGAGGTTGAGAGGCTGATGGTTCTGCTGCTGCGGTGGAGATGAGGCACAGAGGGAGAGAGTATTTATCTGAAAATCTTGAGACATGATTATCTAAAGGTCGCCACACACTACAAGGGAATTTGCCTGATTTTGGCCATGATTTCCTTCTCCGTGAGTTCAGGGAGGCGTGACCTGACTTTGTTTCTTTGTGTGCGATTCTGAGGCTGCTGCGTTCCTCCTGTGTGCGGTGTCAGTGTGACTCTGAGCGGCTCTGTCAGATCGTAACCATCAAACAACAGTGACGCTACCTCCTATATGATATACACACAGAACAGACTCACCATCATCAGCACCTCTTCTGTCACAAAAAGAACTCACATAATGCACAGAGTCATGTCATTTAGTCCAAAAGAAGCTGATGGCATCAATCTGTTTTTATCAGCAATAACAGTTTATGCAAATGATCCATGCGGTTTTAAGTTTCGTTTCTGTAAAACATAAACAAATGTGATCAAAGCTGAATTATCTGATCAAACCTGCTGATGTGGATCTATAGTGTTTATGGTTTATATGTTGTAAAGTTGAGTTTATTTTTATTTTTAGAAGATTTTAATGAAGAATCTGTTGGGTTTGATGTGTGCAGTGGATTGTGGGAGATCTCACAGCTCCTCACTGCTGGTTAAACCTCCTGAGCTTCCGACACTAAAGGAGCTCATGGTTTGTATTTTTCCTGGTTTATTAAATTGATTTGAGTTAATTGTTGCTCTTGTGCATTTGTAAGTTTATGTCAAGAAACCGGGATACTCCATTTGATCATGTTCACGGGGATATGAGTGTCCCGGTTTCTCAGCGCACATGTAAACACAGTATCCTGAATACTGACAGAACCGGGATACTGATGCACATGTGTACAGACTCATTATCCATTTATTGGAACAGAAAGTTCAAAATAACACATTTATTCAATCAAATTTGATTAATTCAGTACAATATGTATAATCCAGAAATCCTTTGTCGAGCTGCTTAGAAGGGGGTGGAGAGTTACTGGTAGCCTCTGAGCTACAGGTTGGAGATCTCTGATTTAAAGAGTCTCAGAGCCACTGGTTTTACTGTAGACAGGAAACAGCTGACGCCATCGCGCTCACAACTTTATATCCTGTGGTCTGCAGACATATCCTGTTGCAGTCTTTGTGAATGGAGATTTAAAATCTCATAAGACTGTCCTCGTGTCTGTGGTGTGCGCTTTTTGTCACACATTTAAAAATCTCTTAAGACTGAAAAATCCTGTAGTGTGTGGCGGCCTTTAGGGGCAAAGGCAGCAGGCTGTGATTGGCTGGACAGATTGACTTTAAAGGGCTTGTACCTGATTTGAATGTGTTCTTGTTAAGATTAATGCTTATTACATCATGCAGCGTTTGCAAAAGCTGCGAGATAATAATAATAATAAACTGACAGTGTGGACTTTTTTGTCAAATCAGACATGTTTCTGAAAATGACTGGACCTGACATTATCACAGACAACAGTTTTTGTTTCATGTTGCAACTTCACAGTGGCACAAAGGACTAAGTGGGCGGAGCTAAGCGTTCAAACTAAAACATGTTCCTGACTCAGCGTTTAAAACTAGACACAAGCCCTTTGAAGCAGAACGAAACACTAAATCAAACTCTTTTTTTTTTGCTACTTAACTGTGTAGAACATGTTTTAATAACTTTATCTAACTGTTCCTAGTGTTTTTTTGTTTTGTTTTTTTTCATGTAATTTTCGTGCAAACTAGGTAGAGAAATGCACGCTGCCTCTAGTGGCTTCTGCAGTTTCAAGTACTACATGACATCACGCAGGACTGCTCTGATTACAGCCAGGTGTTTCTCTGTATCTAAACACCTGACTGAGTCTGAAGTGTGGATACCTGTTCGACCAATCACGCTGTTCCTTATACCTCCAGACCCCGCCCCTCCTCCCCCTCACTCTCCTCTTTAGTCCTCCAGACCCGCCCTCCTCCCCCCTCAGTCTCCCCTTTAGTCCTCCAGACCCCGCGCCTCCTCCCCCCACTCTCCCTTTTAGTCCTCCAGACCCCGTCCCTCCTCCCCCTCACTCTCCTCTTTAGTCCTCCAGACCCCGCCCTCCTCCCCCTCACTCTCCTCTTTAGTCCTCCAGACCCCGCGCCTCCTCCCCCCCACTCTCCCTTTTAGTCCTCCAGACCCCGTCCCTCCTCCCCCCTCACTCTCCTCTTTAGTCCTCCAGACCCTGCGCCTCCTCCCCCCTCACTCTCCCCTTTAGTCCTCCAGGTCCTGCTCAGTGTTTGCAGTGCGGCTGTGTGTGGAGTTAGGTCCCGTTTAGTCCACACTCTAAACGTCGCGTGTGGTTGTTGTTTACAGAAGGACGGCTCGGAGGTGCAGGCGGAGGTCCCGGGCTCCGACTCCTCGTTCACTCAGAGCGGACTGGCCCCGGGGCAGAGCTACAGCGTCACGGTGACCGGGCGAACGGGCCAGAGCAAAGGGGCCCCGAACACCGCACGCTTCAACACACGTGAGTATCATCCAACCGCAACCACGCGGGGGAGGGCATCTGACACACAGGAGTACAGGAGGAAGGGAGGGCATCTGACAAATGTGTAAAAGTAATTTCAAATTAAAACAAAAATGCTGTTATGGTGCTGGGGCCGTGTACTATTTGTTCTTTTGAATTTCAATTAAGAACGAAAAACAGTTTGTTATTTCATTATTCTGCTTTAGTGTCAAACAAAAAAAAACAGATGTTGGCCTCTATTTTTCTATTTGTCATCGTGCCTATTTCAGTTTTGTTGTTTTATTCTCTCGGGTTTATTTGCTCTGGAATTTCTGCTGCTAGAAGGATTCACCTGAAAAATTGTTGCTGTTTTTTGGACAAACAGGTCTCTTCTTTTCTAGCGTCTTAGAGAGTCATTGTTGAATGACGAGAAACAGGAAGAAGTGGGGTGATAAACTTTGTTCAGTTGAACCCACAGAATTACCTTATTTTCAGTGTTGGGAAGGTTACTTTTAAAATGTAATCCCCTACAGATTACAGATTACACACCCCAAAATGTAGTTTGTAACAGAATCCATTAAATTACTTAAAGTGAGTAACGTAATCTGAATACTTTGGATTACTTGATTTGCTGTAGGGAAGCAAAGACGAGGATACTTAACCTTATTAAAAATATTATTGATAGAAGAGGAGGAAACACGTCCTTTAAATCCTGTTAAATCCTGTTTTAGTCCTGGTTTAGACCTTGTTTAGATCTATCTTAGACCTGGTTTTAGTCCTGGTTTAGACCTGGTTTAGATCTAGTTTAGACCTGGTTTTAGTCCTGGTTTAGACCTGGTTTAGATCTAGTTTAGACCTGGTTTTAGACCTGGTTTAGATCTAGTTTAGACCTGGCTTTAGTCCTGGTTTAGTCCCGGTTTAGACCTGGTTTAGACCAGGTTTTAGTCCTGGTATAGACCTGGTTTAGTTTCCAGCAATGAGTGAAATTACCGGAAAAAAATAAAAATAAAAATAATGTGAAAACAGGAAAATACCACAGTGCAATCCATTTATTTCAACAAAGTAACTGTAATCCAATTACCACTCACTGAAACAGTAACTGTAACTGGATACAGTTACTCATAATTTGTACTCTGATTATGTAACTCCGGTACATGTAATCTGTTACTCCCCAACACTGTGTATTTTTCAGATTATAAGTCACACTTGTTTCATGGTCTGGGTGTTTCCTGTGACTTACACTCCAGTGTGATTTATATATTAAATGTTCAGACTGACAGACACAGGAGGCTCTAGGCTTGTGTATCACTTTTCTGCACATGTCTCCTGTATGTGTCTCTACTTGTCTTGCTGCAAGTAGAGAAATCTGCAGCAGAAAATGGTAATCGAGCAACAGAAAGAAAGTTCGGAGTGAGCGAGAAACTTGTGAGAGACTGAGAGAAAGTGGGAATGGAGAACACAGTTTTATGGTAACCTGGAAGGTGAATCATGTAACTTTCCTGTCATTGGATGGATGACAGAGCCTGGATGAAGTTGCGCAGAGTTCCTCAGAAGTGACACGAGAGAATGAGGAATTTAAAGGATTCAATGCATTTAGTGATCTGGAGTGAGATTTGGAGAGTTTGGAACTTATGTTGTGTTGTTTATACTATAGTTATCTGAATAATTGTTAATGTTACGTTAACATATTAACGCCTGTTCAGTCTGTTGTTCTTTGTTCTGTTGTTATCACTAGAACTTGCCTTTCAAGATAAAATGTCAGTTCCTGGTCTCTAATTTTATAAAATGATTTTCCCCAAAAAAGTGTGACTTATATATGTTTTTTTCTTCTTCATTACACTTTTTTTTTGGCTGATGTGACTTATACTCCGGAGCGACTTATAGTCCGAAAAATATGGTATAATAAAAAATATTTTTTATTATAGATCCATGGTTGACACTGAATTCACAGGTGGTGCACTGAGCAGCAGAACTTCTGGGGCATAAACCAGAGAGAATAAAATATCTAAACTGAAATAGACACAGGGTTCGTGTACCATTTGTTCTTTTGAATTTCAATTAAGAACAAAAAACAATAAAATGGGAAAACAGTTTCATTATTCTGTTTTAGTGTCAATAAATAAATAAATAAAATAAAATAAAATAAATAAGATTTTGACCTCTATTTCCATTCTATAATTTAAAGTTTATTTCAAATTACACCAATACAAAAACAGTCATCGTGCCTATTTCAATTTGGATATTTTATTCTCTCTGGTTTATTTGCGCTGGAAGTTTTGCTGCTCAGTGCACCACATGTGAATTCAGTGTCAACCATGGATCTATAATAAAAACAAACAAAAAACACAAAAAAAACCAAAAACAAAACAACAACACTATTTTAATTCTAGTTCTATGGAGTCAATTGAACAAAGGAGAGTTTATCGCTGCTTACTGTTTCTCGTCATGGAGTTCAACAATGACTTTCTAAGATGTGAAAGTAAAAGCGTCGCTATAAAAGAAGAGACATGTTTGTCCACAAAACTGCAATGATTTTCAGGTAAGTTCTTCTAATAGCAGAACTTCCAACTTCCAAAGCAAATAAAATATAAAAATTGAAACAGGCACCGAGATAGTTTTTTGTTTGGTGTTAATTGAAATAAACCTTAAATTAAATATTGGAAATAGAGGTCAAAATGTTGTTTTGTTTGACACTAAAACAGAATCATGAAATAAGAAACAGTTTTCCCCTTTTACTGTCTTTCATTCTTAACTGAAATTCAAAAGAAGAAATGGTACACGGACTAAGATCTTATCTTACCTATAAACTGTAGAGATTTGAGTTTAAATTTTATTGTTTGTATTTTATTATTATAAAACTAGAGAAAATTCCAAACTGACCTCTGACCCCTCAGTGCCGTCCGGCCCCTCTAACCTCCGTGTGGTGAAGACTTCCACTTCCTCCGCCGTCGTCCAGTGGGAGCCCTCGCTGTCCGACGTCGACCGGTACCGCCTCACCGTCTCCCGCAGCGACGGAGCGGGGCGGAGCCAGGAGCTGACCTTTGACCCCACCACCAGCTCCGCCCACATCACGCAGCTGGAGGCGGGGCTTAGGTATGACATCACTCTGGTGGCAGAAAAGGGGAGGAGCCAGAGCGAGCCGGTGACGACGCACGCCACGCCCGGTAAGGTCTGAACACCTGCAGGGTTTGGTGGGACCGTACCTGAGGTCAATGTTTATCATAGTTTAACACCAGGTAAAGATGCATTGTGTAACTTTTCTGGTGGATTATTAAACCTTTCTATATTTATGGAGACCAACAAGACAATGTTCCAGGTCAGATCTGTGGAGAGGCCACCCTGCTCACTGTCACAATGCCTGTTTTTCTAGGTATTTTTGAGCTATAAAACCCCCTGTAATTGAATAAATGTAAAGTAGAGCTGTTTAATGTCACAGTGTGGAACATTCCAGGCAGAGCAATGACATCTCCACAGAAACAAGCAGGTGACGGACCCTCCAGAAAAGTTACACAATGCACCTTTGTCAGTTTGTAGAAGAAAGGTTGAAAACAAGTTGACAGGAAGTAGCACAAAAAGGAATCCCTCCACACAAGACGCCATTCAAAATGCAAGAACAATTTACACAGAAGAAACACATTTTTGTCTGACAGGTTAAGCCTTCATTTAACAAAATACATGTGTTGTTGTTTAATGGGACTTGCATGTAATGTAGACAATGAACAAAACAATGAAGATGTAATGAGTTCCTCTTTCTTTAGTGACAACACATCTTTAAGTGTTTAAAAAGAGATTAGAGTCATGTAAAGTTAACGCTGTGGTGAGCACGGATCTGTGCTTCTAACTGTGACAGAGAGAGTGTGAGGAGGTGAGGTAAGAGGCTCGGCTGGATTATGACTACATTATTTATACATTATTCACATATGTGATACAGTTTGTGGTTAAACACTTTTGAAAAACAAAGCTCAAAATCAGCGATGATATTTCTGATTGGATCTGGAAGTGACACCATCTGACCAACAGCTCTAAATATGTCCAACCAGGACTCATCTGTTCCTCTAAATATAACGGGTAACTCTTTATAATAAGGCACATGTGACACACGTGAAGATAGAAGCCAGGGATTTTGTCTAACAAAACCACTTTAATTCTGTAACGACAGAAAAAAAAAAACAAAAAAAAAACGCTCTGCTGAGTAATCAGGACTGACAGTTAACAACAGTTTACAGTCAGCTGCACTGCTTGTGGTATTTTTAGGGT